ATCTACTTCAACTTTGATAAAAATACAGCGACAGTAGCTGCCGCACTATTGTGGTAAATAACTGTTCACTGCTTTCTTTGTTGAAGTGGGAGGATTCCCGTACCTACTCATGTTCACCGGAAGTACATGCAGTCAACAATTCAGATATACAATATTCTGTTATTGACAGCTACAATGTCCATGTCCCCGTCGACGCGCGGCGAGCAGAGGAGATGCTCGAAGGGCGGCTGAGGTGCGACGAGAAAGCCACCTCGAAATCCAAATCGGGCAGTCGACGAACGTCAATAAACCGACGCGCGTAGTCGCTTAGCCGCCTTACATAATTCCGGTAAAACCTCGGACGACGAGTTGGGCCAGCCGTCTCATAGCGTCCTCATCCTCACCGTTCGGCTTAATCAGGAAATACAACTATAAATAAACTACATTATATAAGCCATATTAGATAACATCTTCACACACGCCCTAGCAGAGAGGATCGAGGACGCGAGACGGATGGTTCTAGGAGCCTGCTCCATTGGTACTTTCAGGGGTCCTTTCGTCACTTCGTCAGATTACTAAATATGGGTAATCGTGGCGCGGTAAGCAAGCTCCGGATGCCAAATATGGCAGGTTCTCAAATGGCCTCTGTGACATGGGCCGAAATTCGTAGTCTCCCGAAGTCAGACCGTATTGCCTCCCTTATAAGGCAGGTGGAAGGCGGTCGGCATATAACGGTCTGCCGCGGATCGCGCCCCCTTAGTAGGGGTACGCATATTCAACATCACGTGATTATTCCCACGGCCACCTCGACAGACTCACCGTTTCGTACCCATGCCATCTCTATGTAGCGAGGGAAAAATATATGATATGGCAGGAGTACCTGCTGGTCCTGATGCAACTTGAGTAGTCTCAGATTTTTTGGCGCTCTCTTTCCGCTGTAGGAGCATTAACTTCGTTCGGTACATGCTGCTGACATCAGCAGCTCCGGCCGTCCCAAAAGGGGAACATGTTGAAGCTCTACCCTTCAGAGCTCATTTTGAAGACACCATGCTCGGCAGCATACCTCAATATGGCTTAAAAACATATATGTATTGCTACTCATTACTTCTACCAGCCCATGGGGGGATGTATTATTATCAATATACGCTGGAGCCTATCATGGTACAGAATAGGCTTTATCGGTCGATACAGCACCCAAAACAGACACTAATTGAGCACAACTGTGGTGTCACTTCAAACTATGTACCGGAAGCTCATTAATTCTTGCTAGAGGGTCGCGACGCGCTGGGGAACCCGTTTAATCTGAAGATTCCATAACGCTAATGAGGTCACGTGATTGGAATATGCGCACCACGCCAAATGCCGCGCGACTAGATGCAGCCTAACGTGCTGGGTTCTATCCGCCTTCGATTTTACCGTATCTCTCGATGCAACGCTGCCACTCCTCCGGATGCCATTCGCCCGTTCCTGGGTCGTCAATCCGCCAACGCTCTGGTGGCTCAGCCGTCGCATGCCCCTTGATCTGCCTACAGACGGAACACGATCTGGCTGACGCATCAAATACGGCTGTTCTGCACTCTCCTCAGTGGGCCAGTAGTTCCAAGTAATGTTGTTCTTAGACGGGAGTTCCCGAAAGCGTTGACAGTAGCGCCCGGGTTTGCCCGAGTCCACTCAATGGCAATCTCGACCCCGTTGTGGACGCTTGTGTATCCATTCAACTCCTTGCCGTTGATCATCTTGAAATCGTGGCAAACGACATTCACTGGGTTTCCTGCAGCTTGACGCTAATAACATGATTAGCAGTCACAGTATATCATGGGTTAACAACTATTAGTAGATACAGTCGAAGTAGTAAGTACATGGAGCCGACTAAACCAGGTGACTCGGAGACTCAAACCAGCATCGAGCCTTCCTTCATTGTGCTCTCTCAGCCTTAGGAGTACCTTCCTGCCGCTCCTCCGCAATAGGCTCTGTCCCGGGTGCGTCTTTAGCGTATTCGGGCAAGCGCTGATCAAATGTTGACGCGCGGCTTGGCGGCGGCGGAAAGGCATTCAAGTTCATGGGATGGACACCAGCTTGGGCGTCAGCATCTTCTGCGTAACGTTCATGGCGACGCAGTAAGATATGCATGGCACGGAAAGGCCTCTTTATACACCCTGATCCCTGGTCAGAACGCGAGCTTTGAACTGCCGGGGGTTGGAGCTCACCGGTCCATGAGGTATCTCCCGTTTTCCTCAGCAGATGTTTGCGCTGATGGTAGCGGTGACCGCAAAAGAAGAGAATCCCAATGAGCGCGAGAAACACTGTAGAGTATGGTAAATGAAAGTGGATAATGTACGACTTTGACATATGCATACGAGTCCCAAACAAGAGCCCCATTAAGATCTGGGTGGCGTGCCTCTCTCTCTCTCTCATGCGAGGTGCCAGAACACTCGCGGTGAAAATGACTGTGGTATGATTGGCGCTAGGGGTGATGGTAGGCATAGTGGGTGCTGGAGTTTTCCTTCTCTGTCTTCATGCGAGATTTATGTATACGACGCAAATGCTATGACTTGCAATGAGGCAAGGGCTATGCGAAGAGTGTCGACTACTAGTAGGTCAATCGATCCTAGGCTATGAGGGCGTCTCTTCCATCCCGCACACTGGAGCCCCAGGCTGCAGGATGGGCGCTACAACGTAGAGACGCTAATCAACGGTGCATATCGGTAGAGTTGGACGCCCAGTGGTTTGATCTTGACAAATCCCGAGGAGCGGGCGATGCCGGTACTCCTCCCGTGAAACTTGAAACACGCTGAGAGGCCGGAGTGACATCTTGTAGTTCGTGAGCGCAGGATGTAGAGGTGTCGTAGACGCAAACATGGAACACTATCGATGGTCCTGTACTCACCGACCGTACGGAATTCCTTTACCATATCTGGATGCCATTGAGAGATAATGCGACCCGTGGCTACAATCGGTATGACGACTTTCAGCCGATTGCAGGCCATCGCTGAAGCTCTGCGGGCGACACGAGTATACAACGTGCAGGAGGTGGAGGCTTGATGCGGTTCACATGGAACCGCCTTGCTCGACACAATTAAGTGACACGGCCCGAAAGTTAGGCAATAAGGTCAGGGGATTCGGGCGTACTCTCGCGAAGTTTCCGACCACGTCAGAACCACAGAAATCGAAGTCAAACATCCCGATATGAACGTCGCTCCTAAGAGGCAAGACAGTTAAGGAGAATTTCGGGCTGTCAATAACATCCGTCCACTGTGGTATTACATCTCGCAGGAACAGGCTTTGGAATCGGGAAAAACCTCAACTCTGAGTCCGGCTAATTGCATCGAGGAAGGCCCACCTGGCAGTGTGAATTATTCCCATAGTCCAGTAAGGCGCCGGTACGAGGAAATAGACCGAAGAGCACGAGTACGTAGGCAGAATACAGAATAGTCAGAAAACGGTTTTCGTGATTCATGAAAGCTCCACAATGGTAGATGTGGCACCGGCAGTCATGTCCGTGGTGGCTGTTCCAGTGTCTTCCAGCGCCCATATTCTGATGAGCAGGCTGAGCGCCGAGCAGGTCCAGAAATAACCATCTGGATCGTGGAGAACTTAAATCCAGGTCAATCAAGGAAAGTCAAGATATCCCGATTCATGACTATTGGCACATCGCAAGACGCGTGGCCAGGAAGAACATGGAGGTCGTATGATGTCCGTCAAGGACGGGCATAACAGAAAGCAGACTGAGCGGCTATTCGAGTAATAAGTATGACTCAATACAAAACAGTGTGAATATTAAGGTCCTTACTAGCTGACGCGTGTACCTCCATTTCCATCCTGACAATCGTTTTATGACGCCGTAAGAAGACCAGACGTCTGCGCGGGGTCCCCGGTGCCATCATCTTGTCGACCCGTACGCGTCCGACTGCATCGGGTTCCGAGCTTAGCGTGAGAACCCGAGTTCGCGCCACATTGAACCTTACCATAATACCATCATTTCTCCGTATCTATAACACATAGACCCACACAGGCCACTACATATCAAACATTCCTGCAGACGTCTGCACATTTGTACATGTTCATGCGACGAATGGACTCTCGTCGAGAGCGTGTCGTCGAATAATCGTCAAGTCGCGATTGATTTGAATCTGGTCCGACTCTACCACCTCTATACCAAAATGCTTACCACGGCGCAGCGGGCGGCTGACATCCCAAGCTCTCTTCGTCGAACAGCCCACGTATTTGCCTATGGAACGCTGCCATTCCTCCGGATGCCATTCTCCTGTCCCTGAATCGTCCATCCGTCAGCGCACTGGTGGCGCAGCCGTCGCGGGCCCTTCGATATACCTACAGACCGAACATGATCTGGCGGACGCATCAAATATGGCTGTACTACACTCTCCTAGGCATCCGCAAGCCAGTCCAGCAGATGCTGAAACTCTTTCGAATTTTTATCGAAATTTACAGGATAATATCGTGCGCTCGGAGTTGGATTCGACTGTTGGACACTTTGGTGGTACTGCGGTGTCTCAAGGCGCTGATACTCAAACGCCGTTTGATCATGCTGGGGTCTCGATATGCGGTGAAGATGATCCGAAATACTTCAGCACGGTCTTCCTCTCCCCAAGGCCTGACGTACCTTGGCGAAGCGACGCGTCGACGGGCATGGAAACTCCCCAGTCCGCGCCCGAGGAAATGGAGAGCAAGCCCGCAAGATCCCTCCACATCCCTCGTATTAACCTCTTTCCCTCAAAGAAAGCCTCGCAGCGAATACTCAAGAAGGAATCATTACCTCCTCGCGCATGGTCCCCAATCCAATTGCCGAGGATGGTCAATGCGTCCTCATGTCGTAGCTCCGCTTCCACCATGTACTCACTGTCTTCTTCGTCTACGCTATCCGTCTTACCCGACAAGTTTACGCGGAAGTGGCCTCAGCCTCGCCCTGCGCGAGACGAATCCGGCAAATTCGACTTATCTCTGCTCGAAGAAGAAGCTCTCGGGATCGGGATCGAACGTGTCGGTCGATGGACGCCGCACAAGTGGTGTCTGCTTTTTTCGATTATTACGGTGTTCATCTACGGCCTTATAGGAATGACGTATGCCATCTCGACCTGGTTCAGGAGTAAGTGTAATCCCATCTGTCCCACATCTCTATTGACCCATAGGATTTCGATGTAGCATGGATACACGCAGACGTGATGTACGTCGCAGACTACGACATTCTGGTCCTCATCACGCTCGCATCGTCTATCCTTCTGCTAACATCCATCCTGGGCCTGACCGGCACGCTCCTCAACTCACGACCCATCCTCGCGCTCTACGCGCTGCTCCTCTGGCCGGCGTTCATCTCGATGCTCTCGATCGGCTATACGGGGTACAAGCGCCAGGCGCTCTCGCTCGACCGGAAGCTCAACCTCGCGTGGAGCCAGTGGTACACCCCCATAGGCAGACTGATCATCCAAGATTCCTTGCAGTGCTGCGGGTATTACAACGCCCTGCACGAGGCTACGCCGAGCAAGAGATGCTACTCCCGGACTTCTCTACCTGGGTGCAAGAGCAAACTCTTCCACTTCGAGCAGACGAACCTCGGGGTGGTGTGGTCGACCGTCTTCTCCTTGGTTCCGCTGCATATCTTCAACATATTTGTAGCCTTGCTCTGCGCGAACCATGTCACGAAGCGTTTTGGGAAGGGTATCACACCGAAAGGATACCGGCTGACTAGAGTGGATATAGGGCTGGGCTCTGAAAAGTTGACGCTTCCTCAACTGTCGAGAGGCCCCTCCACTATCGTCTTTAGGGAAGACAGGAGAGGAAGAACCTAGTCTGATGGTATCGGGATGCTTACCAGGTTTCGGTATTTCACTGCTACTCTTCTTCGTCACGATATTGCTTCGTAATTGTTACAATATGTCAATTCTCTTCATTCATCTTCGTGACCTGGTTGGTGAGCTGGCCCCGTGGCGTCTGCTTCGTGGAATAGCCAATGTTACCAGCGCATTGACCAACATTCCAAATCACCTCTTTGATCAACAACGCATCACGTCGCTCTCGCATTAGCCAGTGCTCACAGCTCTGCGTTACGATTCAATCCTTTCCTCGCTATTCGCGAACAGCCCGGAATTCGGAATTTGTGTGGCCGACCGCGTATATCAGCTTGTCACGTGATTACTTTACAAATTATCTATCGAATAACGTGACGGCTACGGTCCTCTCTTATATTTATCGCGCACCTTCCTTGGACCGCTACTCACCGTGTATTCCAGACTCTTGCCATCTTTCAAGGCTTTGCGCAAGCCAGCACTTGCTTTTGCGTCCGTACATACCATTCATACCGGCTTGGAACCCTTGAAATATCCGAAGATGGCCCCAATCAACGGAAAGAACCAGAAGAGCAGTAAGATGCACTCGAAAGTGGTATGTAGGCTTCAAGGAAGCTATTGGGAGATGTTACCGGAGGATTGACTATCGCGTGAAATAGGTGATTATTGGATCAGGTCCCGCTGGGCACACCGCTGCCATTTACCTCGCGCGTGCGAACTTGGATCCCGTACTCTTCGAGGGATTCATGGCAAACGGCTTCGCAGCTGGAGGACAGCTGACAACGACAACCGATGGTGAGTAGAAGCACTTTCAGTAACGCGGCGACGATTCTGACGCATGATTCTAGTGGAGAACTTCCCCGGCTTTCCCCAGGGTATCATGGGCCCCGAGCTGATGGACAAGTTTCGCGCTCAGTCGTTACGCTTCGGCACCAACATCATCACGGAGACCGTATCCAAGATTGATCTGTCCGCGCGGCCGTTCAAGTACTGGAGGGAGGGGCAGGAAGACGAGGAGGCCGAGACCGCTGACACGGTCATCATCGCTACCGGTGCGAGTGCGAAGCGGCTGGGCCTGAAGGGCGAGGACACGTACTGGCAGAGTGGAATTAGCGCGTGCGCTGTGTGTGATGGAGCTGTGCCCATCTTCCGGTATGTCTGAGTGCTCTTGGATCGTCTATTGCTGCTCACGTGCGATTCAGTAACAAGCCTTTGGCTGTGATTGGTGGTGGTGATTCGGCGGCTGAAGAGGCAACGTGTGAGTTACCATTGCCATCTGCCCTCGGGTACCCTCTGAATGTCTTTGCAGACCTGACTAAGTACGGCTCGCACGTATATGTCCTCGTTCGTCGGAGTGAACTTCGGGCATCGAAGATCATGGCAAAGCGATTGATGAACCACCCCAAAATCGTCAGTCTACTTCCATTTCCATTTTTCGTAGCTAACGCTTGACGCATGTTTTTGTAGACCATCCTGTGGAACACCGTCGCAGTCGAGTGCCAAGGTGACGGCGATCTGCTCAACAACCTGCGCATCAAGAACGTCAAAACCGGCGAGGAGAAAGATCTCCCAGTGAACGGTCTCTTCTACGCTATCGGCCACGAGCCCGCCACCTCACTCGTCCGCGACCAGCTGCAGACCGACGCAGACGGGTACATCGTCACCGTGCCCGGTACGACGCAAACGAGCGTGAAGGGCGTCTTCGCTGCGGGCGACGTCCAGGACAAGAAGTACCGACAGGCGATCACGAGCGCGGGCAGCGGGTGCATGGCGGCGCTGGAAGTGGAGAAGCTGCTCGCGGAGGAGGAGGAGATGCTCGAAGAGGAGTGGAGGTCGGAGAATATGAAGGTGGACCTGCCGAAGCATAGATAAGTTGAATTTGTTGGTCATGGAGGGATGGTTACTATATCTTTATGAGGATTTGTACATACTAACATAGAGATGGTCTACTGGATGTGTCGTGTATGTGCAATTATAGCTGTCATTACAAACCTCGAGTTGACGTGCAGCGGGTCTCCACAAGTGCATGTCGCCTATGCGAGACAATTATTTGTCTTAATTTCCCATTGGATGTCGTGATAATGATTGGCACTGAAGTCGGCTGAGTTTCGGGAAATATAGCACGGCGTCAACAGGGACCTACAAAGTAATGCTCGCGCAACCCTATGAAGATCCGTTGCAGCTCCTGTTGATCGCCTACTCTAACTAACGCATTGAGCCGATGAGGTCTACCAATCTAGGTTGCGTGCAATCCCGATTCGCGGGAGCTAGGGACATTCAGAGAACTCCCGGGCTGGCGAGCAATATCCCTGAGACTCCTGAGTCTGTGGCATTGGAGCTTCAGATCCCTTGGGCGGGAGCCAGCCGCCTCTTGTCAGGCCGCCTAACGCGAACTGCACGCATCAGACGTACCAGCTGGATATCACTAGCATCAACACGGTGGTCCAGAATGTGGACAGTAATGCCAACGAGGTACGCTTCACGTTGGAAGAAACGACAGTGGACTAACCCGGAGGCGTCAGACGTACATCACGAAGCTGCTCCAGGTCTTCGCGCCCCTGCCGATGGATTTCAGCCAGTAGTACGAGAAGCCGGACAAGCAACAGCTCTCGAGCACCTACCGGGCACACTGTGGACACCCAAGGACGTCCAGCTCAAGGACGTCGACAACACCCAATATCTCATCCATGGTGTTGGCTTCGACTCCAGGTCAGTCTCTATATGATACCAGTCAGCCACTGGCTTAATCTTTTCATCCATCAAGCTACTGGGACTTTGCTGTGCCCGGTACAGACGAGTACAGCTGGTGAGTGCCTCGGCTGCGGCCGGGTACAGCACATTCCGCTATGACCGTCTGGGCACCGGCCTCTCCGAGCATGCTTCAGATTCCTACAAGTGAGTATCCGTGGCCACCCGTCTTCATGACTCACCCGAGACCGACTCATGTTGCCGTCAGTGAGGCGCAGGCGCTCATCGACCTCGCCATCGCCACGAAGCTTCTTGGCGTGCTCAAGGACGGAGGGATCGGGGGACAGAAGCTCTCCAAGGTCGTCGGTGTTGAGCATAGCTACGGCTCTATGCAAGTGCAAGCCCTGTCAGCCACTGTGCCCCATCTGCTGGATGGCGTGCTTCTCCAAGGGTTCTCCATGAACGGGTACGTGTTTCATCCACATTCCTCCGTCCCTCCTAGCGTCCTGAAGTCCATTTCAATCCGCTCAGGACTGGCTAAAAGAGGCTCTTGCTAGATAGGATATGCAACCCGATCCATGCCCCAACGTGCAAGCTCGAGTCTCACATTTTACTGGACAGGGTCAGTCGGAGTCGTTTATGAAGTTAAAATGCGGCCTTCTGGGCAGTGTTGGCAGGACATAGACCACCAGTCAGATATAGTCTACTACCACTAATCAGTGGCAGTAGATCTTGGTCAGAACTCGAAGGGGATAGCGTCGAGAATATTTTCGCGGCTCACCGTAGGACGCACCGCAGGAAGTGATAACACTTAGCCGTAGTGCCTTGAACACTCCGAAGAAGTACCTTGAAATGCGGTAGCAAGCGCCCCATACACCGAGGAGAAGTTCCTTGCCAGTGGACTGTCGAAGAGAGTGTAATTGTGGCGATTACTACGGTTGCCATACTGGGTATCGGGATCACTATATCGGGATGCTGTGGCTGAAGAGACGCATCCACATCCAATGGCCCTGGCTCTGGTTCTCTTCGCTCGCATATGGTTTTACGACCATTGATTTTACTTGGCTATCCTCTTTTCCCCGTTGTCTTTCCTCCGAGGTTTACTAATAATCCCCGGTGAAAGGGGCTACATGCAGGCGTCGCGCGACATGCGGTCCAGGCTCCGACTCCGAGGATCATCTATCTTTGCATTACAAGGCAGGTAACGCGTAAAGCCAGACAAAGCAGTGGAATAAGGTTCCTTAATCCGTCTGCCGCTGTTCAGCGACCTATCTGTTATTCAATGGATTCATCGACCGAGTCCCCAGTTCGCTGGGCATGCTTCAGGATATGCCATAGCTGGCCGCCGCCAAGGCGCATCCTCACTTTCCAGGCTTCTACGCCACAGAGGGTGAAACCGCAACGTATCATAAATGACAGACTAGATTGCTGTTCCCTCTTATCGAGTCCTTTCAATGGGGAGAACACATGCTATATCTGCACGCGAAGCAAGTCTGAAGACGCACAGAGCTACAATTAGCGTATGCCATATTATAAGGCACCAAACTTCTATGTGAAAGACTCAGTCAAAAAGCCCCTTCTTATACCAGTATCTGATCCACCGCTCTGCATCCTCTACGCCAATCTGGGGCGCATCTCGTAGGGCCTGGCTCACCGCCTGAGCTTTCTTAGTAGAGAAAAGCGGTATCCCTCCTGCCTCCAGATCATTTCTCCCCGAAGCACGTATCGCATCGTCTGCAGAAGCCATGGCTTGGAAGAATTGCAGGAGTTTGATAGCCGGCTAGCAGCACGTTCGTCAGCGATGGAGACCTGAACTAATAGAGGGGGGGACTTACAATCTTCCGTATATCAGCTTCTGTGGCTCGCTCAGCTTTCTTTTCGAGAAGCGTGATCCATTGCTTGAACGGCAATACTGGCAGAGGCTGACCGTTGCCGTGGTCCACAATTTTGACGATGGCAGAGCTAATCCCTGACATGATGTGCGACCAGGGCACCGGCCGCGGGTGTACTATATTGAGAGCGGAAGGAGGCCGCTCCTGCGCGAATGTCACGTCGAGGACAGTTTGTGCCACCGCTTCCGTGGTCAGCCACGTTGCCACCTAAAGGTCGATCAATGACAGTAATGTAGAGCCATAATTAGCAACTTACACCCTGAGCATCAGGCAAATATCCTAGCGATTTGCTCGACTTGACAAAGATTGGCACCCAATCCGTGGTGGCCCATGAACCATCTGGCTTCCCACCACAAATTTGGCCAATCCGAAGGGAGCTGGTCTGTATCCCCCTTTCTGCCGCTTTCACGAGTAGCTGCATTGATGGTCTCGTCATGAGACGCCTGGTTGACATACATAGCTTAATATGACTCACCTGTTCGGAAATATACTTACTCTCTCCGTATCCTGCTCCTACAGCGACGTCCAAAGGAAGCTCCGACTCCTCGGGGAATGGCCCATTCTCCTTCGGCCATCCTTGAGAGATACCGACGGATGACGTAAAGACAAAGCGGAAATTAGAGCCATAGGTAGACCCAAGGCCCAGATCCACAAGATTTCTCACTCCTTTAATATTTGACTCAAAGGAAGTGACCGACAGGTTGAAGTCGAGTCGCCAGGCATTATGGATGATGTGAGTGACATTATTTCGTATCTAAGAGGCCGCGACCGTCAGGAAATGATCTAAAGCAGTAAATCACAACGCAAACACACCTCTTCATACAGCGCTGCTTCCAACCCCAAGTTGGCAGCGGATTCTTCGCCTTCCACCAGGACCAGCTTCTTAGACGCCAAAAGACCGCTCGGCAAACCTCGATCCTCGAAGGCCTCCTTCTGGCGTTCAGTTAGAGCGGCCTTGGAGGACTTCCTGTTGAACGCGTATACACGTTCCACCTTGTCGTCCTCTAGTAAAAACCATAGCATGTAAGACCCCAGACCGCCAGTAGTACCCGTGATGAGTACAGTGCTCTTCGGGGGAAGCGGCTGTACTGTTTGCTGATCCAGTTTGGACAAATCAGCCGAGTACTTCGTTATCAGGCGCCTCATGACATCGGTGTGAGACTCCGGCGCGTGTGCGTTCGTCTGGGGTAGGACTAGGGTATGGATCGCCGCCGCCAGAGCCTGGATGGTATTGTTAGCAAAGACGAAGTTCTGTGAGACAGACTTTGCGGCCAATTGGGCTGCTGGTTCTGCGGATGACCTCAATGCTCCTATGATTCGGTTCCGCAGGAACGTCGCGCTCAGGCTGGTCCAAGAATGAGTAGGCAACAATGAAAATAGGACTCACGCATAGCTTACCTGTCGAATCCGTGTGCAAACAGGTCAGCATCAAGGGCAGGCGCCTTAGCATGACTCTGCTCGCTAATATCCTCTACTTGCACGGCAAGCCATTCCCTCAGAGCGGCTTCATCCCAGCTATTGGGAGGTTCTACATCCTCTCCCTTGCTCGCCTCAACTTTCTCATATCTGTGTCATCAAAGGAAGTAAGTCGTGCGGACTAAAAGAAAACGCGCGACGTACAGTGCTTCAATCTCCTTGGCATAATCAGCAAATGTTGCTTTCCTGATAACCGTCCCCTTTGCGGCACGACGCATGGGCTTATCTGGCGAGGTGACCAGGATCATCTCTTTGAAAATACGACTGAACGCTGGAGCAGTCTCATTGGCCTCTTCGACAACGGGCCTTGGGGCGATCTGAGCGACCATACATATACAGAGGGGAAGAGAACTGACCATAACTCGTTCCGGAACCTTGCCAAAGCAGCCTCGTCCGCTGGGTCGATAGCATGCTCCGGTCTCGGCTCTATAAGGATCCCGACTTGATTATGGCCGCGACCGAACATCATGGCACCCGCGACCAGGGGTGATGTCAAGATCTTCCCTTCGATTGGAGCAGGCACGGTCTTCTCCCCTACAGGACGACATGTCAGCACATGCAACGAGACTTGGCAAAGTCGAACGTACCAGAGGCAAGAATAAGAACGTCGTCTACACGTCCAACACTGTAATCCATGATTTGTCAAGGTTATCACTCGTGGGGCACGACGGAAGGAACCTACATCTTCCAAACGCCTTCTTTGGTCGGATGCTTCTCAAAGAGATCTGACGTGGCATAGCCCGGGACGTCCGGCAGATTGTGAATCAGCAGGGGGTGAGCATCACTATCCTGTGGTATCAAGTCTCTTGCTCGGCGGGTGACTCAAGAACAGAAAAGAAGATTCTACGTACCAAGATTTGCAATTCATATTTCCCATCATCTTGCGGCACCATCCGTATCGACACCCTTGGATCGAAAACTAAATACTTCCATTCCGTACGATCCAGTAACCCTTCTGGAGGTATGAAGTACGTAACACCGCCGAATTCGGTCCCACCGTAGGCAGACGCCAGATGAACGCCCCTTGAGACGAGCTTGTCCCCAACAGGTTCCGCCAAGGGACCGCCACCGTAGAGCTAACCGACCTTTTCAGCACCTCGCAGGATTGTCATTGATGGGCTAGTTCGCTCACCACGACCTCCATAGACGCTAAGAATGCCACAGCGTCGTCTGACTCCGACCAGAACTATATTCCAACACTGAGTATCCTTTATGCTAGAAGGCGGATCTCAGAAAAATTTGTCGCACCTCGAGGAAAGTCGGTACAGAGACCACAGCGTTAACCTTGGTTCGCTTCAGAGCGTCCAGAGTGTTGCCGGGACCAGGGACGACGGGAAGCTCTGGAAACATAGGTGGGAACAGAGCCACACTAATCCCTCCTACCAATGGTGCCCAGGCCTGGAAGGCGGTGCCCATCATATGAAAAGTCGGGAGGTGCATTGTGCCAAATCTCAGGTGTTTATGATAGCGACCCACCCCACCTAAGGCTACATTGCAATACGATTAAGGGCGTGCACTTGGAGACAACGGTATACAAAATGCTCACGTCCGCCAAACCAGCCCATCAAGGTCTTGTTAGTATGAGGAATAGATTTCGGGAAGCCAGTAGAGCCGGAGGAATGAATATAGCAGATGATGTCTTCCGGCCTGGAATTTTCCAAACGCGGGTAAGGAGTGAAAGGGTCGCTCGCCTTTTCACGACCCAGATGAGGAAAGGCATCGTGGAAGGCCGGCAGTTCCTCGATCTTCAACTCGTAGTTTACGGAGGACAACTCGGTTTGAAGTCCAGAGAGAAGTGAGGATAGGGAGCCAGACGTAGTGATGAGGCGGTGACAGGACGTCTTCTGGAGCATGTGTGCAACAGCAACCGGCGAATTGCGGTTTGACATTGGATAAGGCTAAGTCGGAGCCGTATTATGTTTAGGTTGAGTGCTCCGATTAGATCATCATCGACTTACCGTCAAGCCTGCCCTCATCACAGCCATTATCGTGGCTGTGTACATCAGGCTGTCACAGTTAATGATCAACGCTACGACCTCTCGCGACTGGAATGTAGGCTGAGGATTGATAATCCAAGCGAGACGATGGATAGCGCGACACCATTCCAAGTACTTTATCTCCGTAGGTTCTCCTGTAGGATCCTCAGAGGGAAAGACCGCATACGTGCGCTCCGGATTCTCCTGCAGACGGACGTCGACGAGCTCTGCGAGAGCCACGGAGCCGTCGAAAGGCGCTTGTGTCCACTGAGAGGCAGCCATTGACGATGGTGTTCGAAGATGCTACTAGGTTGGGGATCCTGTCGCTGATGCTCATCGCGCGATGCATTTATAACGCCATGCGACGTGCATGACACTGCAGCAGTCGCGTCATGGCATCGTCGAAGATAGTTCGGCATCCCACTTGCCCGGAACACGACTGAAAGCGACTGAGTCGATCTCTCTTGATAATAAGATTTAGAGCGGGAACTTACAGGACGGAAATATCTGCCATCTTCTCCGCTTGGAGTCCCCTGCGTTGCGGACGATGGTTGTAGAACGTAAAAGCGCACTTGAAAGAGCTTCGACACGCCCTCTGCTAATCTTGAATTACTTCTTCGCGCGTTCGTGTCGGTCACGCAGCTTAAGCTTCTCGAAGCCCCGAGGAGGACCCCGATCACTGTGTCTCTGCCCTTCTGCTGCGTTTCCGGCATCCGTTTCGAGCGTAGGTGCGCTCAGGAACCCCACATAACATGTCGTCCTGTAGGCCCGAGGCCCGATGTATGCCTGATCCCCGGTCTTCATTGCAAAGATGGTAAACAGGCAGCTTGAAACGGAATGGGGAATGGATTTAGACCGGGAATGCGTGGCTGATGCTGCCCATGGCCATCAGAGATAGAGTATCCATGCCCGTTGGTGGCAGCCGAGCCTACCAGTGAAAGTTTCGCAGTTACACAGCCCGGCAGTATTTGCACAAATGTTGCGTCAAAATCCGGAATCAAACGTTTGCGCTGAGATTGCCAAACAGGAGCAAGAAAATCGCCCTCGCGAATGAATCAGACCGAATATTTGCATGAGTTTCTTGCCGCGGGATAGCGCAAATGTTGCACAAATAAAGTCACATGACCTGCACGAGACTGATAACATCAATCACGCCATCCCATACCATATGCCTGGACCCCTTTCCCACCCCGTTGCTCAATGGCGCAGCTTGTATGGATGCATGGAAAACAATATAATCATTATACATATCTACTACATACATGTCTGAGCATCTAATGATGTCTTGTACATCACAAGACCCAATATACGCACTGCCTGTGGTGCATCTGCTGTTACAGGAACACGCGAGTGCGAACATAAGGCGATATGCCGCACACTTGTCGGCCTGTACAACTTCTGCATCATCAGTATGTTCAAAACGACTGGAAGAGCAGCACACTTACCTCGTGCTAATCGAGCATCAGGACTGAAGAAGATATGGGACTCTAGACCCGGCCCTTGAGTGCAGTCAAGCTACCGTACAAAGGGACAGCAGCGAAACATAGCTATAAATATGGTACACGTACCATGTCAACTAGAGACAACAGCTGCAAGATGCTGCGCGGAACTGAGGGGAGCACGAACACGGACAAGAGATGGTGGTGGTTGAAGGGCAAGAGAGGATGAGAGAGAAATTTGTTGAAGTCCAACTCCAACCGCTACGAGCGGAGATTGAACTTCGGCACATCGGCATGATGAAGCAGCGACGCGACGTGTCACGAGACCAGCGGCACGCCCCCGTGCCGATGAGTCTAAGTCAGAATATTGCGCAAAGGAATCCACGACGCAAATCCTTTGCAACCTGTATTGCAACCGTTGCACAAATGACACACGCGCAAAATGAGTGCAACTGTTACGCAAAAGTACTGATATCTATACTACCGACATTTGCACGAACGCCCCTTGGATTTTTTCACCAGATTCTGGGCAGGCCGTGTAACAAAGCCTAAAGTTCCGAGTCGTGACTTCATGACGTCACAAGAGGCCGTTCGAGTGGTAATCCGCAACATCGATTGTACACTTGACGAACGCATCCAGATTCCATGCATTTCCCATGCAATCAGACTGAAGCACCGCACTCAGCGCACTGGACAACGGACGGCCAGTTGATGTTGCTGACGCACCTCATCATCATATTCTCCGAGAAGAGTTGGAGCAGAAATGAAAACCCGAATAAATGTGCGTGTATGACGTGCGGTGGGTCAGTCGTGTTGCCGGCTGGATGGATATATGGGTCGTCCGGTCAACGAAACTTGCACCAGCGAGTTACTTCCGCGGTTCTTCGCGTCCGCCGGCATCGGACAACGCAAGCTCAGCCAACCAGAGTGCAGTTCTGCCTCACTATACATCAGCAAAATGGCAGCCCACGCTAAGAGGGATCCAGGCGCTAAGTACCGCTAAGGCGCCCTTACCGAGCGCCTTAGCTCTAACTCTCTGAGTTTCTTAGCCAATGCTCTAGAGGGGCGGCAGAGCAATATAGATAGCTCTGTTGATAATATATACACATGTATTGTATAACAGTAGGGCTAGACGAGGGCGGGAACTCGTAATTTAGGATTTGCGATCGTTGAAGGCCAAGGTGACGTGGATTATATAATATTATAGGGATACTAGTAATGTGTGCTGATGGCCTAACGGTTAAAGCGTATTGTGTGACTCGGGTGGTGCCGGTTCGAATCCCCCCCATGCTACAACTTTTCTCTTTTCTCCCCACTTATTTCTTGCCTGAGTGTTCTTAACACCTTAATCAAGGACTTAGCTAAGTCTTGATGCTGGGCTCAGGGGGCGGGCCCCCATGACTTAAGAATTCGGACTGGGTACTTATTTGCCTGACATTCGTTCTTAGCTTCGCTTAGACGGCCGTGCCGTTTTGCTGATGTAACTGATGGCGCACTGGGAATCAATTTGACGACTGTTATCCGTCAAGAGCCGAAAAAAAAGCTGCCGCGATATGTGGCCATCATTGCCACGTGAGCAGTCGCGTCTTTGCATCCGCGCCCATGAATGCGTACGTTTATCGTCCTATCATTCCTGCCTCACTGCTTGCGTGCTCATGGTTCGCTTCTATTTATTTACGACTGGTTAGCTGCAATTATGAATGTCCTCCGCCACGCAGGTTTTCCCTTGGCGGTCCAAAGACTTGGACCTCCACGATACCTCCTCGCATTCGCCCCGCAGACGCTTGCTTACTACAGGAGCGGAACGGTGACACAGGGCAGCCGGTGACGCAGCCGGTGCTGTTCTTGCAATGTTCATGCAGAGCGGCTCGATACAAAATGCGGCCGCGTCCACTAGGCCTGTCGACGTGATATTCTGCAGTCAACTTGATAGATGCTAAGGATCACATACTGAGAAGGATGGGTGTAGGTCACTAATGAAGAAGCCGGTCCGTTCTCTCTGATGGCTATGCCGTCCCGACCGACAGCCCAAGGAAGAGCCGCCTTAAATACGTGCAAGAGCTATACCGTGCAATCAGCAACTTATGTGTGTGCGTTCCAGCTAACACTAGGTGAGTACGATCTGTCTGCATTTCGGCAGAGACAATCATTGCTTACTTTTTTTTCCACAGGCACACTGTGAACTCACATTAGTCCGCCTCGCATGTGTCAGGAGACGCCATTTGGTGGGCGGTGTCTCCGAGGCTTGGCTAGTATATTTTACAGTTGCTTGTCACTTTCCTGTGTCGTATGGATCTGCAGAGATCAGGAATACGGCAAAGAATATGATGATTGAACCTCGCTTGATTGACATGTCAAGGACTCAGTGCCGGCCTCGCTAGCCTACTATCTCTAACCTTAATTAACATGCCCATCAGGAGCCCGCTTCTAACCACGTCCTCCACCCACTTGCATCCCAACCCTTCTCGAACTCCTCTTCCGAGAACCTCTGGACGGCCCACGTCCTGGCCCGCTCGCGCATCGCCAGCTCCTGCTCCGGCGCGAGCGTAAATGCGCTGTACAGTGCTTCGGCGAAGCTCTCCGGGGTCGTTGCGTGGTACCCTAAAAACCATCATCAGGGAAAGGATGCGTGAATGCGTGAAGGGGCGTACCTGTAGGCTCCCCATTGAAAGGGACGACGATATCGTTCAAAGGCCCGCCAGACGCATGGGTGACAGGAATAACCCCCGCAGCCTACAGCGATTTCGTCAACAAAATACTCAGTCAGAAGCACGTCCGCGCAACCCTACCATGAACTCGACGACATTGATACCAAAGTGCTCGTCCACCATCGTGCTCAAACCGACGCTCGCCCTCGACAACCAGTGGAGCACAGTCGCGAAGGGCGCATTCAGCACGAACTCCACCTGATCCGCGATATCGAGTGCCGTGGCCAGGGCGCGGAGCGAGTCCACGCGGGCTGCGTCCTCGGCGTTGCGGCTGCTCCCGACGAGGACCAGTCGGATTGGGGACGCGCCGCTGCTCTTGAATTCCGGGTGGGCGTCCAAGAGGATGGAGAACGCGTGCAGCTGCGCTGCGTGGTCTTTCTCCGGGCTGCAATAATTCCTCGGTATCGGCATGCGAAGAGAAACGAGTATCCCTCAAACTCACCGGAACTGCGCCAGACTCAAGATGACGCGCTCACGGCCTTGCAGCGGGAACTGCGCGACCTCGCGCGTATCGCACGGCGGGTACACTATGCGCGCGTCCCTCGGCGAGTCTGCGTTCGCGGGACTGATCCAGTTGAGCAGGGACCACGGGGGGAGGGTGTGCAGCGCGTCGAGGAGCGGGTCCGAGTGCCGCAGGATCGCGTCAACATGGTTTTTCGTCCAAGAGGAATTGACCATGACGAAGGACGCAAGGCGGAGGGAGCGGGAATAGTGATACATGAATATGCGGTAGTATCTGTTGGGATTTCGGTTAGTTTAAGCTGCGAGTAAGACGACGAGAGGAACGGCGCACAAAACCTTCCCGAGGCTGAGCACGCGCGACGCGGAGATCGTATCAGCGTTGGTGTGCCATCTCTGCCGGGCGCGCACGCGCGCGAGCATGTCGGTGCTAATGGTCGGGTAGTGGACATACGCGCCGATGGGGACCCTCCCAATCCATCTCACGACGTGGAACGTGAAAGCGTAGCCCATCGTGTCTGCCGGCTGCTCATCAGAATCGGTTCACGAAGGATACTGCGAGCGTACCGATGAACAGGTCGGGAATGAGTTTGCCCATGGCTTCCCAAGCCATGTACATCGACCCGAGGCTCTGCCCTAGGAGGGTGAAGCGGGGCCATGTCGAGTCCTCAACGAGGTGTCTCGAGTTCAGGAATACGAACGCGAGGCTGTCCGGCGCGAGCGAGATGTCAAAGCGTGCCTGGTTAGCATGTTAGCGTAGACGGCGTAGAGCACAAACTGGAACACACCTTGACTTTCTCTATGATGGACGCCTTCGTGGCATCCGTGTCCCCGCTGTAGACTGCACATACAACGTCCCTCTCCGTCCTCTGCATGTGCTCGATCGCCGTCCATAGCACCCGCTCGCCGCCACCGCCTGCATTGCTTCACGCCCTGAATCCTATCAGCTCCATTCCTCCACTGCAACTGTTTCCCGGCTAAGAGAAGGGGGTTGTCCTCACCAATACGGATGGAAGAACCCGACAACACGCTTGCGGTGCGCGTCGGCGAGGGTGACACCTAGCTCATCGAGGAGCTTGGTACGGTTTTGTCTTTGCTGTCTTCGGACTTGTTTAATGCGACGCCATGCGTAGAGAAAGGGTGCAAAGAGTAGGAACCACAAGGCAAGTAATGGGGAGTTCATTGGAAAGCTGTGGCGGGGAAGCGTCCCGCTGCGTTTATAACTTGTCTCTAACCTCCGTCCTGTCAGTCAGTGCTCTGCTGTACAGATGCTGTAGGTTTATCTGCGTTTCTTTGCGCGCTGCGGCAGTACCTGCGACACAGTAGGCCGTGGCAGAATCTGAACGAGTCGCATCCATAATCGCATTAGTCTCAGCTCGGATTTTCCTCTATTATTTCCCTATTCTCCAGCACTCGAAGCAAATAGGAAACACCCGCCAGTCTTCGTCTCGTTTTGCTCTCTATTGGTATGTAGATTCTAGAGGGTACCGGCTTATTGGGGAAGTTTTACTGACGGTGCTAATATTCGGAGATGGCAGGCTGCGATTCGAAGACTTCCGAGTTGACATGTACAGGCAGCAGTGCCGAGAGCCCTTCGCTAACGCCTGCAAGCTGCAAGAGTTAGCGAAGGGCTCTCTAGTGCTCTATTACACCGCGTCGCAATCGATAAAGCTTTGAAACACAGTGCGCCAGTGCTAAGGTCACGACCGTCTTGCAGGTGCCACGTACGGACTCAAGGACATGAAAACCCACCCCCTTCCACAATTAATACGAGCCTTCCACTGTCGCCAGTACAGAAGCTTCTGATCACTCCAAGGTCAAGCTATGCGGGAACGTGCTTTAGGGGTACCAAGGCACCTGTGATAGATGTCTTAGTAGACGCGATATCGTCAAGTTTATAAGGCCAGATAAATGCACTTCAACCCGGACTCTCGATGTTGGAGCCATTGACACTATCCTTTTGTCTCGCAGACAATGGAGAGTAGTCCCACATGAGCGAATATGTACTCAAGTTGGACGAATATCCATCCCCATCCCCATTGCCATAACCTTAACCCCACAAATACCCGTACAAGATAAGAGGAAGAAATACAAGCAGTCGCAGAACATCCCATTTACGTACCGAAGACCTTGCCAACGAAGCCCAACATTTCCTGGTATACTTGTGGTGCTGAGTAATGGGCGTTGACCGCATGTCTGGCAATGGGCAATGAGAGGTAAGCAAGACGCATATCCAGGTGTGGAAAGAGAGAAACGCACCCAGTGTTAGCCGGGATGTAAACAGAAAAGTCGCTCGCGGCGGGGTACAGGTCTTGCACATACTCAGGGATGCTCTTCCGCGTGCTATCGGCAGGGACAGCATAACAATCCAAGAAGCAGAACGGCCAGTCCTCCGCGCCAGTGACCTACACCCATCCCTCGTCAGCACATAACATCGTGAGTACGTTGCCTAACACGTACCACATGGACAGGCCCAGTAAACTCCGTCGCGTTCTGCATCAAGCGGCTCTGCGTAAACAGCACGGCCTGCGTGACCGGTTGCTCCGTCTCCCTGTTCCGCGCGAATGCGGTATCGGGGTAGTAAGGGAAGTACCAGAAGTTCAGCTGCTGTGTTTGCGGGGCCAGAGTGACGAGGTACGTGGAAGGGAGATTGGAGTCTTTGAACCGGGAAGGGAAGACCTGAGTGGCGGTCGAGTAGGCGCCGGAGACCAACAGTTGCTCCTGACCGGTTCTGTATAGGAGTGGAATGTAACCATTAGCACGAGAGGAAGCCGAGCGAGGAATACGGGACGCCTACGAGTTCATGGAGAATCCTTGGAGGAGGACGCCGTCCAGCATGTGGGGTACGGTGGCTGACAGGGCCTGAACTTGCACGGAACCGTAGCTATGCCCGACGCCGACGACCTTGGAGAACTGTTGTCCCCCAATCCCTCCGCCCTTTAGCATTTCCAGGAGCTTCGTGGCGATGGCGAGGTCAGTGGGCGCCTGTACCTCACTGACAGCGACACGAGTCGGTTTCGGGTGAGTGACGGAGACAAGTGGACTCTGATGTACTCACTTGTAGGTATCTGAAGGATGCTCGGAGAGGCCCGTACCCAGGCGGTCATAGCGGAATGTACTGTACCCGGCGGCAGCGGCTGCACTCACGTAGCTGTACTCGTCTGTACCGGGCACGGCAAAATCCCAGTAGCTTGATGGGTCACAAGATTAAGAAGTGGCCGATGATTACAACATGGAGACGAACCTGGAGTCGAAGCCGATACCATGGATGAGATATTGGATGTTGTCGACGTCCTTGAGCTGGACATCCTTCGGGGTGCATAGCGTGCCCGAAATCGAGTATGTGCGCGAGAGTTGCTGCTTGTCCGGCTTCTCGTACTCCTGGGTGAAGTTCATTGGCAGGGGCGCGAAGACTTGGAGCAGCTTCGTGATGGATGCCTGAAATGCCCATGTCAGTTCGGTGCGGCTGACTGCAAGCACAGCAGAGGTGTACCTCGTTGGCATTGCTGTCGACGTTCTGGAACACCGTGTTGCTGCTAGTGATATCCAGCTGGTACGTCTGACGCGTGCAGTTTGCGTTCGGCGGTCCGACACGGGGGTCGTACCCCGCCTGGTTGGGGGTGTCACTGCTACTCGGAGCGGCGGTAGCTAGAGACACGAAGCCCAAGAAGGAGAGGAAGCGTGCTGAGGCGAGCATGGTCAGATGAAGAGTGGATGGCGTCTCTAGCAGCTAGTGAACGCTGTGGAGAGAGGTGAAGGTGGGGGGTGAAGTTACAAACGCATAGATGGCCGGTATGTATCTTGATCTTGGCTGGCTGTCGATGGCTGGCGGGGGAGGCGGCTGGCTGCCGCCCGCTGTCAGTGAGCTTCGTCAGACGAGTCGACCAGGTCAGCCTCCGTCCGATTCACCATGAAGGGGTTTCAACGTCGCATTGCAACGAACGCCACAGACTCAGAGACACTGGGGTATTGCACGCCAGCCAGGACATTTCCTGTCTACAGGAGGGGTAGCAAGCATGTACCAATCCAGGAGTATTCAGGCTGTCAATTAGGGAACAAATATCCTACCACCCTGGTACTTGGCACACATAATCTACAGTATGGTACAAACATGTCTAAAATTTGCTGGACCCATGCGTCTAGCCGGGACTGAAGGGGAAGCTTGCTACTCCTCCTAAGGAGTGATTTTCTTGTACATGCTCTCTAAAATCAGATACAGTGTCTAAATTTATGATGAGTCAGTTGGCATACTTATCATAAATTTAGACACTGTATCTGATTTTAGAGAGCATGTACAAGAAAATCACTCCTTAGGAGGAGTAGCAAGCTTCCCCTTCAGTCCCGGCTAGACGCATGGGTCCAGCAAACTTTAGACATGTTTGTACCATACTGTAGATTATGTGTGCCAAGTACCAGGGTGGTAGGATATTTGTTCCCTAGTTGACAGCCTGAACACTCCTGGATTGGTACATGCTTGCTACCCCTCCTGTAGACAGCACCTCTGCACCGAATTTCGTCGTTCTTTCAATGCCATATTTTTCCTCTATATCACAAACCCCTATATACAGATTCAAAGCACCATCCGAGCCCGAATGTGGCTGCTACACATTTTTCTTGCCCGAAGGCCATTTGGCGTGCGAAAAGTCACGCCGCGCCTTACGTTCGGAAAACGGCTGTGATTGGCTTCTGCTCCGATCAAGTACGTGAGCCACAGCTGCCATAGGGAGACGCGTACCATGACTTCAAGTCTGCGGTCCCGGTTGACACCACGCCACATTTCCCAAACTTCGGCCACGTCTTTGTCAGTGGCGATCATGGGATTAACACAAAAAATAACTATCTCGCCACACACAGCCTACTACACGCAAGTGTCACGCACACTCGAGGTTTGTAATGACGGCTATGATTGCACATATGTACATAACACCTCCAGTCGACCAATCACTATGTTATTATCGTATGTACAGATCCTGATGGTCCCTAAAAGACCAACAAGTTCAGCTTATCTACGCTACGGCAAGTTTCACACTCTCCGATCTCCACTCCTCCGAGTCCTCGAGCATCTCCTCCTTCTTCGCAAACAGCTTATCCGCCTCCAGCGCGCCATGCACTTCAATGACCGATCATTGATCCATTGCCCCTCCCCATCAACTTCCCCGGCCCGCAGTTTCAAGCCAGAAAGGGCCATGCCAGGACGCCATCTTGTGGAAGAGGCGCTGGGAAGTCTGTTTGCCTGCTCAGGGCGAAAACGGTGTTATGCGAGAGTGCTCGGTTTGCCTACCGATACAAAACGGACGTTGGATTCGTTACCGGCGCCGCATATCATCGATTCATGCTGAGGAGTTCCTTGCGAGATATATACGGCCTTGGATTTCTTGGGCGGTGCCCATCACACAGGAAGGCACGGAAATGATCCCGGTATATGGGACCCGGACAAGTCGGCAGTAAGTCGTGATCCTGTTGTGTTCTGGAACAGGACCTTACATCCTCCTTCAGCACACGAGGCCGCTATGTCTGAAAGCTGTAATACTGCTCCCCCCAAGGCTTCCTGATCTTGTCTCGGCGGAAGTGCCAGTATATGGGCGATGTGGCGCTTCTTGGACCAGGACCCTCAAGAAGGTTCGGGCACCAGGGAATGGAAACCAGAGGATTGGAGAAGCCGTGACTGCGCTGGAGCTGAAATGGTCATCACGGAAGAACCTGTTACGGGTGATCACGTTCGTACCAACTTCTAGGTAGCTTGTCGTCGTGTTGGATAAATCCCGCATTTTGGCGACACTATCAGCAAATGTTTCACGTGGCCTGGAAGGCCAGCGGGAGTTGAGCGCTGCTCGGAAGGGATTTGACGAATCACTGGACTGTGTCAGTCTAGCCTCGATAGTGCGTCTAGTGATGTGTCGGCGGACGGAGTGCGATGCCAACGTTTGTTCCAGGTGCATGCAGTGCCTTCGGCCAGTCAAATCAGTCCCTCCTCCTGCTGTTCACGAGGGGATGCTTTATTGGTAATCATAAGCTCCATAAGCATTCAGCTTCCGACTGATGTACCAACTTGCTCCTCGTGGCGTTCCCACCAGGTTTGACCGGGAGGTTGGAATCTCAACGTACTAACCAGAGCGAGGAATAATGCTATGTTTTTTCCGCACAAGACTGATCAAGAATTCTCACAGCATGGAACTGGCTCGCACACAGGGCGAAAGTGACTTATACCGGGACCCACAACGGGGCGGTACCGAAGTCAGAAATACAATAATGGTATTGTTGCCCTGCCCACTAGGACTTTTACGGCGGATTAGGTTAAAGAGGCGATTTGACTTGAGGGTTTAAAGGGCAACAGAGCGATGCTCGTACTCTCCATACAGCAACCCGGAATTTAAACCCCTGTTTCCACTCGGTTTGTGGCGTCCCGCACATTCAGGGCATGAGCTGAATATTCTCAGCAGTCATGACATCTAGCAACCGAGAGTCTACCACTTCCACTGGAAGTGACGATAGTTTGGCTGACCTCGCCACGGCCCAGCCAGCAACCACTGCCAGCGATAAACCGCACGACGTGAGTCCACAAGATCTTCACAGAATCGGGCTGACGCTTCCTACTTGCGACAGGGTTGGGTGGTAGTTACGAGGGGCCCCAACATCGGCCGTGTCGGCCTCGTCATTAATAGGAAATCCAGTCTACTGGTACGTCGCCGGGCGAGGGCTCAGGTTATACCAGCATTCGACTCCTGATACCGTGAATAGAGCACAGAACCTACGGGGTGGAGGTACTCTGTGAGACTGAGTGCGCATATGGAGAATGATCAGATTGTCAAGGACGCAGAAACATTGGAAGATGTCTTCAAGCATGATGACCTTCGAAGGCTGCCAGCGCCGCCATTTAGTGATTAGTTGACTGTTATAAATGCCTACAATCAGGCACGCAAATTTGTCGATGTATTAGCTACCTATGTCATGAATCGTATACATCTGTTCCAGTTGGATTTGGCTCGAGAGGGAAGCGAGCGGACAAGTTTTGGATCAGTATGGTGACGTGCCATAGATGTAGGCTGCTGTACGCCCAGGGACGACCTCGTCATAACAGCCCAGCCTTTTATCAGTGAGGCGTTGTAGCTTCACACTCTCTGGCGTAGAAGCCTGTATAGCGAGGATGCGCTCATGCGCCTCGGGGGCGGACATCCGATTCCTCGCCCTGGCACGCGTCATATCTTGAAGAAGACCAAGGAGGCTCGGGACTTGGTCAACGAATCCCTGCAATAATATGTGAGTCGTCTAGCTGCTACCTAGGAAACAAGAAATTTCACCTTAATCCAGCCGTAGATAGTACGGCCTGTTTGATATACATCCGCAGCAAAGGGATCAAACGGCCTTTTCCGTTTAGTCTCCGGCGCCCTCTGTTCTCGTCCGACGACCCAGTAACCCCGGCGTTCCTGGGCCAGAGTATCTGGAGGAAATTGAACGGATGATCCGAAGTCAATCAGTGCATATTTTACAGGGAAATCCGAGCGGAATGCTGGTCTTTCTGTGTCAGGTGGAATAGTTCCGTAGAAGTTCATCTGGACGTTTTCATGGGATATATCCTGAAGGCCATGGTAGACATCACTAAGCATCAGCGACAGCCCAAGCTAGGCAATCGAAGCTGAGGACGCACGAGATGAGCAATGTTGTGACGATGGAGAAATGCCAGCGCCTAAGGGTCATTGCCATAAGTGGGTCGTTTTACGGCCACGGAGGGACTACGCTCACCCCTATCAGTTGGGACGCCCACTCTAGTGCTTCACCGGCAGTTGCGAACTCGGGCCTATCGCAGTCACCCCAGAAAGGCATGACAGCGAAGGTCCAGGCAGAGTGTTCCAATATATCAATCACGGGGACAGTGGCATTAGCAGGATTCGCTCGGATGGGATCGGAATTGAGATATCTTAATATCCGCAGCTCTTGCGTCTCTTCTGAGCCCCAGCTCACGGGTTTGATGACGACATCTCGGTTCTTCCTGTAGGTTTTCGGTGAGTAATGGCAAATGCTACATGGAGTATACACCGCTTACCTATCTCGTGCACCCCATACCTCTCCCTTCTAAAGAATTTTCAGCAAATGCATATGTGTATGGTAGCGTGGCTCACCATACTACAAAGAGGCCTCTCACGGACAAAATTAGATCGGTCTCCGTAGAGCCCAAAACTATCTAGTGCCGGACTGTCGTTTATACGAGGGAAAAGGCCTCTCGACCCACGAGAGGTGTATAGATCATACCCCTTTGAGAGGAAGAATGGTCTCAAAGCTTCCCATTGCCAGCCAAAACCTTCTTCGTCGCACCAGAGCTTTCTCCAAGAGTGATAGTCGACGGGCAGTGAGATCTAATACACAGAAGATTAGTCGCAATAGACAATCTATGCAGTCTTACTGCTTGGTTACCGATGACGAGTCGTTTCCGTTATAATGGGCGCCATTTCCGTAAACGGAGCTTGACGTCGCTGTTTCAAGGTTTCGACTAGCTTCATTGCTACGCGTGTACTTGAGAATATATACATCAATGCCGTGTCATACAGACGTTCAACATCCTTTATCTTACCTTGTGCAGATCCTCCACGTGAGCGCCGTTTACGGCAAAGGTTGTGGCGGCGGCATCCATTCAGACTCAGAGATATTAAAACGGCAAGAGCAGTCGACTTCAACTTGTGCGGGAATCAGTGATTCATTGAAATTGAGCCAAGATGAGTATTAGAGGTGGCTGATACGAGGTGGAAGGTTAAGTTGGCAAGGACTTTGTGGGTCCTTGTATTAAAGTTGTAATACCCAATAATACCGGAGAGCACGTGATGCTGCGGGATGAAACAGGATGAAACTATCTACTTTAAGTACTTACATAATCAAAGTTCTGGCAGTGTTGCTGATGGCGCGGACCCGGGCGTTACGTAGGGAAGTACATTTTACCTCTGCTGACAGTGCTGAGTGAGTCTGAAGGAGCGACAGGCTGGAATCGAATTACTATTCCTGAGATGCTGTTCTGAGGAGACATTGTTCGCGGGGTCCATGTGTACACCAGATTCAAGCCCTATACGCACCCCGTATAATAGACATCAATGGATGAGATAGATTGGCCACATAAGGCTACAGGCCTTTGACAGCCTTTGACCAGTCATGACCCAATAAATCAGTCCCATTTCACCAGGATCTCGTCCCTCTTCCCCTGGATCTCACCCAAAGATTTGTACCCAGCCAAACCCATAGTGACCTCGGTATCAGCCAGCAAGGATCGCAAGATCTGTTCTACACCAGCTTCACCCGCAATACCGAGAGCGTACATCATCAACCGGCCAACTGCAAAGGCCATTATTGCTAAGCTCGGTTGAACCCACGGCGTACAAAGTACTTACTGAGCACACCTTGGGCGCCAAGCGCAACAGCTTTGATCACGTCCGACCCGGTGCGGATTCCGGAGTCGAAGAGGACGGTGAACTGGCCGCTTTGCTGAGCAGCCTTGACCTTAGGGGAGGAACATATTTTGTCGAGACAATACAATGAAGGAACGGCGCCATCGATTTGTCGGCCGCCTGGGGTCACCATAAGTACCCAGCGAGTGTAGAGGGGAGATCTACTCGCCATGGCTGGACACGATTATCCCCTCAATACCCATGTCAACGGCTTGTTCTGCATCCTGTGGGATAATCATCCTTATCAGTATGGTGCAAACCGCAATGAGCGGTGAAGTCGAGGTTACCCACCGCAACATGCTGAATACCCTTCAGGACAATGGGTCCATCCCAGTTCTCTCGAAGCAACTTCAGATGGTCCCACGTCTTGAACTCACCTCCAATCTCTTGTACCCAGTCTTTAGCTAGCATGACGCGTTGTTTAAGTTTTTCGTCTCCGTTAGCAATAGCCTCATTGATCTTTGGCTGGTTGAACGGGAAGTCCGGCCAGTCACCGTAGATGGGCTGCAGGCCGTACCGGGCCATGAATACCGGGTCCGACAGGGCATTCTGCACGCCTACACCATGACTGGCTGGGCTGTAGAGCTTCTCGATATCGTGGATACGCCAACCCAGGACCATCGTGTCAAGAGTGACGATAAGAGCCGTGAAGCCGTTCGCTTTGGCTCGTTTCAGTAGTGACTTGGTAATGTCTTGTGACTTAGGCCTGCAATAATACTGCGTCAGATCCCTCACAAAAACATTTGTGGCAATACGCGCCAGTATAATTGGAACCAGCGTTCACCGTCACCATTGGCTTTGGCGACTTCTTCCATAGACCGGGTTGACGGAGACGATAGACAGAACGTGACGCCTACCCTCGCCGCGGCACTCGCGGTGGCAAGTTCAGCGTCCTTGTGGACGAGACCATGAGCACCTACGGGTCCGACCATCACGGGAGACCGTTGTTTCTTGCCGAGAATGATGGTCTAGGTGTTATCATTTAGCTAGAGCTAATCCATAGGGGGACTGCTTTACTTCAAGGTTGCGATTGCCAGCGTCTCGTAGCATGCGGGGGAGGATCCTCCACTTCTCGAAGGCATCCCGGTTTGCCTTGGTGGTGGATCCGGTACCAGCTCCGGCAACGACGTACGTCCATGCCTCTGCGTCACAGTAAGCAGAAGTACAACACTAATGCACGATGAGCTCCTACCGGGACTGTCCTTGAGTGTCTCGATGAAGTTTTTCTCTAGCTCGTCGATGTTCAGGGACTTCAGGACCGGCGGACCCCTGGCGTTGTACAAGTCCTGGACGTACTTCGACCACTGCGTCTGCACGCTATGTTCCATCATCTTGTTTGAGGGGGTCGTCCAGGAGGTCAATCCCGAGTATCGAAGACGGCCAGCCTCTAGCAGAAGCAAGCTGCTGGGGAGCCGATCCGATGCGAAGGACGCATACTATATAACATGTCAGTTCACACGGCGATGAGTATAGTCCAGGTGACATGGCCCGTCGGACATTCGCAGTTCAGACCGACAATCCTATCAGTGCAAGAGTCCTAACAATATCTGTCCGCGCCGGAAGGACGTCCCGTGGTGCCGTAAATAGCAGGAGACCCTCGAGAAGGCTGCCACCGTGATCGGTCTGTAACTGGTAAAACAGTTCAAGACAGAGCAGGAGCGGCAGTCTTCTCAGGCCATATCTAACGAGAGAAACGTACTGCTCGGTATACAAATTCGAGACTGAACGCAGGATGCGAGTCACCGCTACAGCAGGGAAAAGCGGTCATAAAGCGGGATTAATGCAGTATAGTCTTGCTTGAAGTTAGCTTGAACAGATCACCAGCATAAATCCTGCATTTCCGCGTCGTATATACCCTTCGTCAGGGTGTTCAGTGAGCAAGCTTCGTGATATGTCTATTAGCATAGACCAAGAGCTGGGAGATACTTGAACTTAGGCTTAGCAATTACAGACTCCGCACGGCGGAGTTTCGGCAGTAGCCGCGTTCACCAACCGGAGGGTCGTCGTCGTTGCCGACAGCGTTCGTGCAGTCCGTGTCTGCCTTCGTAACTTCCAGCCGCCGGTCCTTTCCAACCTCCTCACCTTTTTGTCAACGGCAGCCGCTGTAGCATACACCGAGCAAAATGTCTGACCTGTGTCCAGTTTACGCCCCCTTTTTCGGTGCAATGGTGAGTTGGCAATGACGTTTGGCTGTCTGACGGTGTATGAACGATTGCGTGTACAGGGCTGCACTAGCGCCATTGTCTTTACATGTGAGTAGATGTTTTATCCGCCTTGCTATCGTTCCTGCGAGTTGTGGTGGAACCAAAATATGCCGAGTTCGAATTTTGACCGGGTACATGCATCATAGGCATAGGAGCGAGGTTCGCATCTATACTTTCGCTCTCTGTAATACTGTTTGCTAATGGGATTTACATGGACTAGCTATGGTACCGCCAAGTCTGGTGTTGGTATCTCCGCCATGTCAGTGCTGCGGCCTGACTTGATGATGAAGTGTGTCGTTCCCGTTATTATGGCTGGTATCATTGCTGTGCGTCCTTCGTGCTCCGCGTGTGTACCCATCGTTGACACAACGCGCACAGATCTACGGACTCGTCGTCTCGGTGCTCATTTCCGGTGGCTGTGAGTGCTCATGCGAGACGCCTTGAGTGTACGGCGTTCCAACCTAACATATCTCTAGTGGAGGTGCAAATGACCCTGTTCCAAGGCTTCATTCAACTTGGTGCTGGCCTGTCAGTCGGTCTCGCTGGTCTCGCTGCTGGTTTCGCCATTGGTATCGTCGGAGATGCTGGTGTGAGGGGAACTGCGCAACAACCTAGGCTTTTCGTCGGCATGGTACGTCCTGAACTACTTATTTCTCCTTGGGCACATCGGGAGAGGACCGACAAATAAACAAATCTCTGACCGCTTGCTCTGCTTAGATTTTGATCCTCATTTTCGCCGAAGTTCTGGGTCTTTATGGTATGTCCGCACAATCATTAGGATAATGACGTGCTGACTGTTCATAGGTCTCATCGTCGCTCTGATTATGAACACGAGGGCCTCCCAGGTCAACCCTGGCATCGTATGTATTGATATTTTGTATCCGCCAAGACGTGTTATTGAACCTATCTGCAGTGCTCGGCATAAGCAGAATACGATGAAGGGGCTTCTAAGTCGCTCCATCGTCGAAGTGATCTCTCAGGAGTCCACCCACTCCCTATTCCCTACGACCGTCCCCGCGTGTCAACCGCGGTATGTTTGCCGTGCACTACGTCCATAGCAAAGAATTGCCTTCTGCATATAATATATCCATTTTCTCCCCGTATCTCCTTCCGTGTGCCCGAAGCGAGTTGTGAAAGGGACATGATGCTATATCAAGCTCTCTAAGTTTGTGCTGCTTTACGCCATTATTGACGTGTACAAACGTGGCTAGGTGAAGTGGCTGCAGCTCCGTGCCAGCGTATTACTATTAGCCACAGCCTAACTTAGCTTGCACTTTGTCGGTAAGGCCTTCATTGACCTCCGCCTCGTCGTCTGCGCCAGGCCTTGCGCCTTTCACGACCAGCGATGTTGCCTGCGACTCTGATGGCACTTCTGGCGGCGTCGCCTGTGTTTTCGCAGCTGAGTTCCGCGCCGCCGAAGACCGTCAACGATCCCTTTCGTGCTATATCACTTCAAGTGCCTAAGGAACCGGAGCCTCCGGTGTGCTGCCTGAAACCTCTATCTCGGCTGGAACCTGTAGAGGAAGAGCTGCTACTTTCTTTCGAGGAGTGGAAGGCGAAACGTTCCTCGCAGGAGCAGGAGGCGGCGCACCGACCGCGCTCCACGGGAGGGGCAAACGGGACTTCCAGAGGTTCTGGCTCGGAGCATGGAGCGGAGTCCTCGTCTTCAGATTCTTCAGTGCCCTCAGCAGCTGGCTCAAGTATCCAGGAGGCTGGAGATGCAAGTAATGTGCCCCAGGACATGCTGCCACCGCACTTCAGAGTCCCCATCACGGATAGGTTTAACTACGCTAGCATGGACTGCTCCGCCCGGGTGCACACCGCGCACAGGTCTGCGAAGTCCCCTCATAATATCTTGTCGTCAAAGAAAGATAGGTACATGCTCAGCCCGTGCGCGAAGCCGGACGGGGAGAAGCAGTTCGTGGTGGTCGAGCTTTGCGATGATATCCGGATAGACACTGTCCAGCTAGCCAACTTCGAGTTCTTCTCGGGGGTGTTCAAGGACTTCACGGTTAGCGTGGCGAAGACGTATACGACGGATGCGTCGGAAGGGTGGACGTATGCTGGGACCTACAGGGCGAAGAATGTACGCGGTGTTCAGGTATGTCTTCTCCGTGCGTGTTTATGGTCTTCATCTACACGCTCTAAAGCGTCGTGCTAGTCATTCCACCCTCCGACCTCCTTACGGGATTTCTATCGCTATATCCGGATAGACTTCCACTCGCACTACGGCAATGAGTACTACTGCCCCATGTCTCTTCTTAGAGTGTATGGCCTGACACATCTGGAAGAATTCAAGTGGGATATATGGGCTCAGCAGGCCGAGGCTGAGGCCAAGGCGAAAAGGGCAGCCATGGAAGAGGCAGTGGCCGCGTCCACTCAGTCTCAGGAATTACCCCAGCCCGCGGAGCGACCGAGGGAAGAGACCGTAGCGTCTGCAAACGTCTCCACATCCCAAAGGCAGAGTACTCCACAATCCACTACCCATGAGTCACCTTCCACACAGAGTACCGAAGTATCCGCAGGCCCATCCACAGTCGAATCAGATACTTCGGCACGGACAGCTCCGGATTCATCCAACACTCATTCGACGCCTATTCGGCATGAGGCTATGGAGTCAGATACCGAAGAGGCTGGGACGTCCCTTGGCCATCACTCTACTGATACGGCTGGTCCGAAAGAAACTGCTGACCATCCTATAGCTGCTGGTCTAAGATCGAGCACGTCTGCATCTTTACACAACACCCACAATACAGTAACGAATCGCGATACACCAGTGCAACAGTCGGCAGCTGTCCCGCCTTTGGATGCTACCCCCACTTCCGTGGGATCGTCCTCACCACCCGCAAATTATTCGGGTGCCTCTCCAGAGACCAGAACGTCACAATCAAATGGCAACGGCTCTATCTCGAACACCTCGTCCTCTTCGACGTCTGTGCCCACCGTGGTTGCCAGCCCGTCGACAGCCACGGTAGTGTCGCTGTCACCGGTACCGCCGGCTTCGACAGGGGGCGAATCAATTTATAGGATAATCATGAACCGACTGAGCGCCTTGGAGGGCAACACAACTCTTTATGCGAGATACGTGGAGGAACAGACCGCTGCTATACGCGAAGTCCTGAGGAGACTCGGAGAAGACGTCGGGAGACTCGAGGGTATTGTAAGAGATTATCTGCCCCTGCATTTCGACGAGTATTCATGTATGATCCTCAGGGGAAAGCGCAGGCGCAGACGTATCAACGATCAATGCACGAGTTCGACAGGTATAGACGGAAGTTGGAGATAGAACACGGTGAATTATTATCGCGGGTGAATTATCTAGCAGACGAGGTATGTCTACTGCTTCGTGCTACGTCATCATTTCTGACGCTGGTGTTCGTCAGGTTGTGCTGGAAAAGCGGCTCGGGATCGCGCAGCTTTGCTTGCTCCTCGCTGTGCTCGTATTTATGTCACTGACGAGAGGCTCTAGAGTGGAGGGCATGATTGACCACCGAGCCGCTGCTATGTTAGACGGCATATCTAGGTCATCCTCCATGAGGGACTGGGGTAGGCGGACGCTCAGTTTCAGCGGTGATTGGGTCAGCCGTTTCAAGGCCAAAGACCCTGCTCATAGCACCCCTGGCCTAAGCAATTCTTCCAGGAAGCACGCAGGTCAGTGGACTCTGTCAGAGATCCTGCTACCTCGCTGACTCTGTCTAGATGGAAAGATTCAATTCCCTTCACGTTCGACCCCTCCGCAAAATGAGAACATCAAGCCTAGTCGGAAAGCAGAGAGTGACCGACCACACAAAACTGGCGGTCGACCTCATACTCCTACGTCACTTCGAACGCCCGGCAGTAGATATCTTATCCATCGAAGACCGCTGACTCCTACTGGCAACTCCTCGCCTCGTCCTCTCATACAGCGATCTAATTCGCAAGGCACACCTCATGGCTTCGCCTTGGTTGGCCCTGTACCGAAGTCGGCCAAGCGGTGGGCAAGGACGGCTCATTTGCACGAAGTCAAGACGCCAGGAAGGACCAAAGAGCAAGTCTCCGATGCATCACAAGATACTAATGGAGATGGCGGACCAAGAACAAATGGTATGGAGGACGACTTTTCCCGCAGATCAAACCACGATCGACTAGGGGTCGACGAAGCACAAGCCCGGGTTTCGCGGATGCCATCTCCTTTACGCATCTCCTCGACGGAAGACTCGCCTGGCCACGATACAAGACAGAATTCCGAGACCGATGCAGATGCGTGGATCGATACGGATATGGACGGCTCAGAACTTGACGTCAACCCAGGTCAAGACGTGGACGTCTTCGCCTAAAACGCCGCTCGGACCGTATCCACTCCGTCAAGAGAACCATTATGTACACAGAGCAAATCATCTGGCATGGGTTCTCCAATCCCAGGCTTCTCCGGAAGCGTTCTTCAGTTCGTTTATCTCCCTCCATCTCACCTACGGCATTCGCACGCACTACCCTCGCATTGGACTTGGACCAGCATGGTACATACACTTGTTTATTAGCATTGCATTTCATGGAACTATCGAGACCGTTTATGTACAGTAGCATGAGCGATTTACACGGAGAGGGTCACAGGGGCGCTCTATATCCGCTGACCAACCTGAACTTCCTGATCCTGCTTTAGACCAAATACCTTCAATCGTTAAGCCGGTATCTAACCGTCGGGCACTCGGCGCATGCGTATATCAGCAGGTATCCTACCCTGCCGCCAGAGCCGTTCCTTCCGTCTATCCCCCCGTGTAAATATTAGACCTCTCCCAGGAGCTATATAGGTACTACCGGTACGGTCACCGTTGAACGGCCCTCTTGAACGAAAGGCACGATGTCGGATACGCAAACACCCTTGGCGAAGCCGCACAAATGGTCGTCCTTTATGGTGCAGCTGTATGGCTCCAGGAAGCCTCCGGTGTGCGGATCCCTAAACCCTAATACCTTGGAAGAGATAGCGCGCGAGAAGTGCAAGGATCACCTAGGTAAGGGGTTAGTTTCATTCGTTTCGCCTTGCTGATCCAAGTTCGGTTTGAAGATGCGTACATGTATATCTTCGGAAGTGCTGGCACTTCGTCTACCCATCACGCGAATCGAAAGGCATTCGATAGATGGAGACTTGTCCCGCGTATGCTAAGGGACGCCACAGAGAGAAGCCTGGAGGCTAGTATCATTTGGAACGAATTCGGTACCTGACTCAGATGTCGCTTTAGACTACTATCTTTGGAGTCAAGTACCCCTCTCCGCTGCTCATCGCACCGATCGGAGTGCAAGGGATAGTCTGTCCTGAGGCAGAGCTAGCCAGTGCTGCAGCTGCGGCCAGGTGCAACGTGCCATACATAATGAGCTCCGCCTCCACACGCTCCTTGGAAGCTATAGCGAAGGCTAGCGGCAATGGTCCACGGTGGTATCAACTGTATTGGTGAGAACATTCTTCGTGAAACTCGAGTCCGTTCATAAAACAGCGCAGGCCGAAGTCCAATGACATCACACTGTCGCTCTTGGGCAGGGCGAAGGCCAACGGCTACACTGCTCTCGTTGTCACCCTGGACACCAATATTCTGGGATGGAGACCACATGATATCGACTCAGCGTACCTGCCATTCTTGAACGGCGTTGGGATCCAAAATGCCGTGGCTGACCCCGTATTCATGGCGCGGTTCAACCTGCAGCCCATAGTAGATGAGCGGCCCGAGTTTCCATACTCACCTGCTAAGATCGAGAAACTCGCGGCAGACGGTGACGAGAATGCCAAGCGGAGTTGCATGTTGGGGCGAGCCTGGCTGGCTGAGGCCAACTCCGGGGAGTTCAAAGTTTGGGATGATGTCAAATTCTTGTTAGACAACTGGGACGGCCCTGTAGTCCTCAAGGGTATCCAGACTGTTGCTGTAGGCTATGCGTTTCTTTCATCGGTATATCTACGGCTCACTCCTTCCCCTAGGACGCAGAGCAAGCTTTAGAAATAGGCTGTCACGGCATTGTCGTTTCCAATCACGGTTGGTCATTTTACTGTACCTTCCTTTGATAATGCCCTGATTTACCTGCTTCCATGGAGGTGGCAGACAGGTAGACGGAGCCATACCGTCTCTCTGGGCCCTCGAGCAAATCTGCTCTTCGCCTAAGATCCGTCAAGCGCAGGAAAGTGGGAAATTCACCGTAATTTTCGATTCAGGCCTTCGCACTGGCTCAGACGGCATCAAAGCAATGGCTCTCGGTGCCCAAGCCATCGGACGTACGTACCTATACCTGCCTTATCTTCTCGCCTATCTGACGACACTTCATAGTCGGACGACCCTACATGCACGGGCTGACAATCGCAGGTGAAGCAGGAGCTGAGGAGGTTATTAGGTCCTTCTTGGGGGATATGGAAGTAACTCTTGGTTTGATTGGTTGCACCAGCGTCAGTGATATTTGGTACAAGAAGGAAGAAGTTATGGAGAGAAGCGATGTATAGTAAGCATATACCTCACTGTGATTTACAGTACATGGAATAGCTGTAGCAAATTATCTTCGCTTTCAATGTGTGCTGTATTGGCGCCAGAGGCCAATCTTCTAAGTTCAGACGGGCAGCACAAAGAGGTAGGGCGCAGGTGCATCGGTCGCACTAAACCTACTGTTAATATTCTGGTGTCCTCTGAAAGACTTTTCAAGTGGTATCGCGGCGGTTGGTAGATCGGCGGAAAGAGTGGTATGCTCGTGACCCTCGATATGCTATATATGTCGGTATACAGTGAAAGGAGTGCAATGTACATATCGTCCGATGGTCCAACTACCAGTATTGTGATGTTCGATTTAGTGCTACATTGAGCTTTGCACATTGCTACCTACAAGATGAGGATGGGTGTTGAGTTACCCTTCAAACGCAAGTAATATTCACGATACCTTGGTTCTGCTCCTAAGAAGACATCCATTAGGTATCAAGACCCCTGTGGCCAGGACTTTGATCAGACGGACCACTTTCCAGATCTCTGTGGACCATGGGTTCGGAGGAAAGGCGGATCCGCATGCTGGCCTTGGATGCAGTTAGTTCTATGTCCTGACTCAGGCGTCCTGCGGTGCTCGTACTCGGGGCCGACAAATACGGCACACTGTCTAATGCAGAGAGGACCGTCGACGAAGACTTAGCTTGACTTATCAGGAGGCTGCTGTTCAATATCGATACTCTAGTAACAGGAGATGAAACGTACCGAGCTTTCCGTCTCGCATAGATTACCTCAGGTCTCACGCGCTTCATCTCCCGCAGGATATACCACATCGCGAGGATTGTCACCAAGATGGTGGCAACAGCCAATGGATACGTGACCTTCTTGTCGGACTTGCCACCTACCGGAAGGTGATGTGAAGAACGTCAGAATAACAAAGGGTTGCGAGAGGTATCGATATCACCTTCATAAGTCTGCAAAAAGATCACACCCAGGTAGACGTTCAGCATTTGTCTAGGCAGAGACAGCAAGGCCGCCATGGAAAATGATATAATTCCGACGCCGCATGTAGAGAAGACAGCCGTCGAAACTATACTCCAGTTCAGAAATTAGCCGTAGAATGGAAGAGCATGGTGCCCACGTACAATGAGGAGGGATTGCGCTGTACCGGGCGACGAGAACCACGCGGAAGCCGCCTTGCCTCACCACTCTGGTTAGGCATGCATAAGCTATCTGTTTCTTCTCGAGTTTCTCGCAGCGAGATCGGCAACAGTATTTGAATGCGCTATGTAGAGGTTAAGTGTAATCCTCCATAGTTACAGAAGGGGGACATACTAGAAGTTGCCAATTTCACCCAAGAACGTTCCGGCTGCGACGATCCCGAACCCAATCCAGAGTCCCCAGACGAGCCCGCAGATTAGAGCAATTATTTCGTGACCCCAGAGCTGCAGTAGGTGAGCCGAATTCACGACCGAGAGAACAGACAGTTATAACTGACTGGGGGAAAGGAGACAATGAACAATAGTGCTATGGGGATAACCCATGCCCCCGGAGTGCTACCGATTGAGAAGTAAGCAACATAGAAATGAATGCGCTGTGGTGATTACTTACTCTCGTAGCCAGTCAGATGCGGGCAGCATCCCCACAACTATGCGATCATGGAATATAGACAATAGAGCGACAAATACGGCCACGAATGCTAGAACGACCAGCAGCCCTACATATATGCAATTGCCTTCATTAGCCTTCGTGATTGAGAAGCAGGTGAAGGCTATACAGACATTTCCGTCGTCCTTGTAGCCACCATCGTGGGCTTATATATTTACGCCAGTCGAAGAATATCCAGGAATTAGTTATCTGTAGGGCCTGAGCCTCACTGGGAGTCGGGCTGGGTGTCCGAGTTACCGCCCTATCCAGTATGTCTGACTTGTTCTCGTCAAGGGACGGCACTCCTTCCGGAAGCGTCGAGGAAGCGGGGCGTTCAGGGAGAGGAACGTCGTGGTGATCAGTAGCAGGCTGGACGTCCATCGTGATGATAGAGGACTTCCTGTCCAGTGCGAAAAAGAACGTCCTGGTACAGTCCAGTGGGTCGCCTACCACAAAGACAGCAAGTTACGAGGAGAGCGGGTTGCAAGAGGAGGATTAGGCGGGTGGGACGTCCCAGCAAAAGAAGAATTCGGAAAGCTTCATGAAACGGTGGCGTGCGTTTAAGAGGCAGGGCGTCCGCGGGGCTGGTACGGCGCGAATGGACTTGACTCCCAGCCATGGGAACGTCCTCTCTCGTAAACGCTGCATATGGCCGATCCACAGCGAGAGAGCGACATCACCGGTCTGCCACCGCAGACTTCAGTACCGCATTCTCAGCTATATTACGCAGGAGACGAAGAGATTCGAGCGAAGCCCTGGCACTGCATCCCGCGCCGCATTAGTGTAAGGGATGGAAGGAGTCTTTAGATAACGTGGAGGACCAAAGTGGTGTTCCGAAGACTGATGGCTGCAACGTTGTCACTGGTCCGAGATTAAAGCGTCCCGGAACGATGGAACAACGTGGCAGACATAAGTATTTTACTGGAATAGCACAGCGCGGAAGCAATCAGATCCTCAGCCTGGAAGTTTTAGACATCTGCATAAGTCAGCCCTCGATGGTTCGTTTGCTTCGGGCCTTTGGTGATTCTCAATTATTCCTTTCAGTGCCCGGCTACCTTGAAAGACCTTTCTGCCAAAGAAGCAATTATTACACGTGAAGACATTAGTGAGTTCACCACCATCCTAACCCGAAGACAATAAAGGGACGTCACCTCCTGCTAGTGAGAATATTGATCACACTCTTGGGCGGGTCACTCCATTGGAGACGCCAGACCGAAATACAATGCGGCCAATACGTCCTACCTGGGAAAGAAAGTACGCCATTGCAGTTAGTCAGTGTCACGAGCTGAGAATGGCTGTGAGGGAAGCCGCAGCAAGGATATGACTGCGCTCACATTCTTTCACAGTACAGTGAAATATGAATCATGATCGCCCCGGCAATACCGCGAATCCAAGGTCCAGAATTCAACACGCGTCCGAATGGTGACGCATTTGAAAACTCGCACAAGGATGCCTAGTGTATGAACAATGAGTACGGTGGCGTCCGAATCGGGGTGGGACCCAGTGTCACCATCACGTGATCGTGACTAGTGGTACTCGCGCGTCGCATCCGCGTTTCCGATATACCCAGTGGCCCTGCGACTTTCGTGCGGCGTTCTATAGCGAACATATGGAGGGACAGAACGGCCAAACATCCGATGCATTGCATAACCAGGTCTGTGTCTGCGCAATGTTCTGGACGCGTCATTATTGATGTCAGTTCAGACGATACTGCGACAACGCCGCGAAATCGAGAGCTTGAAGAAACAGCTGAGAAAATTCATAGCGAAAGCCAAGACACTTGTTGAAGATGACACCAATGGTGCCTCATTAAACGCTGCTGCCTCCTCAGCGTCCGGTAAGAGTAAATATGCAGACAGGGGCCAGAAGTCAGCTTCACTTGTAAATTCTAGTTCCGGATAATGAAGGCAGAGATGAAAGTAACGAAGATTCATTCGTGGCCACCGCTGTGTGGGATGACGGAGACGGGGTCTACAGATGCACCGATTGCCTCTGGGAAGTCATCGACCAGTTTTGCCAAGGCTGTGGCAGAACCTATGAGCATGACATGGAAGATGTTTGTATTTTTGGTCCTTATATTGGCCAGATAATTCATTCTTTGTAACCAGCTCCTTCCTCACGATCCTTACAGTAGTATCTCTACCAACGACGAGGCTCTCGTAAGCGACCGATTTAGAGCACCGCGCGGCACAACCCCGCTGCTAGACATAGAGCTAGCGCCTGAAGACGTGCAGAAACCGCCTGAATACTTACGACTCCTCCGTCGGGGGGGAACAGGAGCGATGTGTGAAAGGTACAAGTTGACATTTACCGAGAAGGGAGGAATCACCGCTAGAGCAGATAAGGGGCTGAGGGAACTCTTCGCGGGCCCCGCAATCGATGAAGACGACCTATGGTCCATTCACCTTGGGCGGTGCATCAAGCTGGAAGAAGCGGACACCGACGGCACTCAGTTCATTCAGGACTTGCTGGAGGAGGTACTCTATTTCCCTCTTCGCTCCGAATTCAGCCAGTGCATCTGGGAGCGCTGGGAGACCGTAAAGACCGACGCGGACGTATGGGTTACGAGACCAATCCTCGACCGATTCGAGCAGCTGGAAAACAGCGACGGCGAAGATTTCTGGGATGATGCGGACGACGATACAGTAGGCGCTCGCGAGTCCCTGTTGAGGGATCGGGCTTTGGCCGACGAATCGGACGAGGAGGTCATTCAACCCGATGAGTACGAGAGCACGGATGAAGAGTCAGGGGTATCGGACGGCTCGGATGATGAAATGGAAGACGCGGACTGGACGTTCCAAGCCGGAGTGTCTGACGCTGTCTACGATCCTAGTACGGATTCGGACATGGAGGACCAGCTTGAAGAGGACTGTTCAGATTGCGTTCCAGTCACAAAGACAGAGCTGGACGATGGAGCCGTGGCAGTCAAGCCTGAGGACCCGTATGACTCCGCGGACTCGGACTTCGACTCGGAAGAAGAGCTTAGCGGCGACGAATATGTGATCGCATCAAGAAAGTGAGAGAGAGAGACATTTAACCAAGCGGGTACATCGTAGATGATCGTACAACATGCGATTAATCGAGTAGTCCAATTCCGTAGTCCGTTAATAGTCCGTACTTCGTAACTAGTCGTCGGTCCTCCTTTTCATCGTCCTGGGACACGGCTGGGAAGCTATTCACGATGTGTAGATGCCGAGCAGGTCCGTCCTGTTCGTGACAGTATCATTGATACCACACGCGCCTATCATTTCCATTAGCCAGTCACTGCTTGCGCGAGACATTGTAGTACGTACCAATGAAATCACCATACAACGTCGCCCTCTGCGACATATACTGGCCAAATTCATCCAGCGCACACGACGAACCCGGGCCGTCCTGGCACCCAGGAATCGGAATGGGCGCCGAGTTCACCAGTGCCCGTACATAAGAGCTGCTCGTGCCGTTTGCCGCGCATTCTAACCTCTCCAGGCCGAGGTGTCCGAGGAAAGGGAGGATCTCGCTCGTCTTCCAAACTCGCGCGTAATTGATCTTGTCCGAGGGCATCGTCTTGTTCACGTCCAGGTCCGGGTAGTAATCGGAATTGTTGAAGAGTCCGAGAGCGGTGAGGACCAGAGGGGGCTCTTCGCGGTGGCTGAAAGACACGTAGAGAGATTGATTGAAGGTGGTCGAGTTTTGGTCGGATTTCAGGATGTCCAGCGACGCGCGGAGCCAAGGCAGGCCGAGTTGGGGGCCAATAGGGTTCCCGTATCTGAAGTCTACGCGTCAGAGCCTCAAGGTACACTGAAGACTAAAATCCATATACCCGATGCTATAAAAGTACATAAGGTCGTTGGCATACTCGAAGTCAAGCCACTCCTGAACAGAGAATAAATTGCAGAATTCCGTCCTGTTCCTGATTACTGTGTCGTAGCCGCACAATTCCTGCATGCCGAAGACGTCGTCTACCGTGAAGTTAAAGCCGGGGACAGCGGCATTGAACCTGGCGATGATAGGAGCGGTGTACTGATCCTGCCATGCGCCTTGTTGCTCCGAGCCTGCTGACGAGTGGAAATTCGGGCAAGATATCTGGCGGAGTGCAAAACCATTAAGGCTAGCGAACCAGGTGAGCGGTTAAGCTACTTACATGAGGTGTTAGGGAGTTGGCGCTGTCGTTCTCGCCTTCGTTGACGACGACCAGCTGCGCGCTGTCGTTGCGGGAGAACGCCCCTTGTATGAAGGCCTGCGCAGACTCGACCGTCCTGGATGCTGTAAACTATTCAGCGAAGTCCATCGGATTGCTTGTGCCAAATGCGACTCACCTGAAGCGGCCCAGACTCTAAAAGCGCCGCTCGTCGTCGAAGTGAGGTTTGGGTACATCCTGGCGATAACACCGCCGAAAGCCTGCGCAGCCTGGATACCAGACGGGGTCACTTTCTCGAGCTGCGCGGTCTCGTTCGTAATCGGCGACGTGTAATTCGCCAAGAACCGCAAGTCGCTCGTCCGGGTGAAGGCGGACTTGTCTGAGAAGTTTGCTAGCTTTTCCAGGAAGGGCGAAAGATATGTCTCATAGTCGTACTAGATAGAATGCGTGAGAGAGACCAAGACTGAGTGTAGGATCGTACATACATCGTTAGCGTAGATGTTGGAATGGCGAACGAGGTACGTCGCCTTCGCGACTGAACACCCTGAAGGAACGTCCGGGTCTAGCTGGACGCCCGGAGCGTCAAAGTAGGGAGCAATCCCGGCGAGATGCTCCAGGACATCAAACTGGTATCCGCCTGGTCCCTCTATCACTTGTCGTTTGTCTGCAAACGAAGACTTTTTAGCGTGACTTTCTGCAACGTACCGTCTTCACGTACGGTGCGGGATAGTGATGCCGTTGACGCTGGCGTAGCTCAAGACTTCATCCCGAGTCTTGAAATACGGTACAGCGGCCGTTGAGGTTAGCGAAGAGACAATGCCGAGGAGAACAAACGGCGACGATAGCCTGAGCATCCTGACAGACATGTCTTCAACCTCGAGGTGAGCACGACAGCGCAGGCAACCTACAGCTGCCCCGCATTTTATGCTGCACGGAAATTAAGCGAGTAATGATATCATTGAACGTAGGTACCGGCGGCGCAATTGCAACTGCGCTTGCCAAGAGCTTCTGCATGGAGAGGTTGCTCTGATGTTGCGGGTGGCGACCGGCGGCACCTGCGACGCGTGACGTCACGCGGCCGTCTTAGAGTAGTACGAGCATAGGAAGGTCGAGTACATGTACTTCGCACATAAACGTCCTAGCCAACGATACAATGTAGTATCCACTACAACCAGAGCATTAGAGTAAGTTCGTTAGTCTTAGAGGTCGAACGGCAGTATCGGCACAATACTCTAGATGATCTATGGAGTTCACAGAACGGAGGAGGGAGTGGGATGTATAGCTACAATGACAGAGTTGCCCGAAATCTACACTCTAATAACTCTATTGAAATGGCTCGCTATCGTCGAGCCCCGCACTGCCCAGGCCGAACTGACCTGGGTCTTCTCCTACGTTCGTGATGAAGTTACCCCACTCGTCGAATCTGGCTTTCTGGTTCGGAATGAACAGGGTACGAAAGACAAACCGAAAACTCACGAAAATCCGCTTGGCGCATTGAGCCACAAATTGGATAGGTGGTCGTCCCAGAATATATTCGCTTGTGGTCCCGGATGATCGGAGCCAACGTCAGCCTGAGAGGACTGCATTCCGGATGGCAACATCCCCTGAGAGGGTCCCATGAAGCCTCGATCATTAGGCGACTGGGCAGAATGAACTGGAGGTTGCACTTGCGACAGACTCGCCGAGGAGGAAAGGAGATCTAGCGGTGTGGTTGCCTGGAGAGACGCGCCGTCCGGTTGAAATGCCCTGCCAATATTTGGTGAGGTTTGGCTGCCCCATAAGAAGGCGTTGTAGATATCGTAGTCAGTGCTTAACGCCAGATTGCCCGTCTCGTGACTAAAAACTGGGAGGCCGGCAACATCCGCTGGAGTCGGCAGAGAACTCGCGTCAAAGGTTGACGTTGACGGGTCCGCATACTGTGGCTGTTGGAGGATAGAATGGGAAGCGTCGTCGGTGCCAGAGCCAAAATTCGCATCGGTGCTACGACCGGGCATCCCTCTGTCCTCAGTCTCTTCATGTTCTCGCTGGCGCTTGTTGACTGGCATATAACGGGGGTTGGAATACAAGTCTCCGGCTTCCACCAGACTACATAGTATGTCACTAGAACATGTGGCGTCAACCGGTGCCAAGTGTGGAGCACAGGGCCCAACTCACCGCAATCGGCCTGCCAGATACCAGCTATCCGCACTGTGAACAGTAGTAAACGGACGGATATAGAGTAGTACACACCGCGGCTCAGACTGTTCCAATACACGCAGGCCTTTCTTGACTTCATCCATCTCCTTGGAAGGATCAGAACAGAGCCCTGATCGCGTGCCTGCCCATACGTTGAACAGTAGAACTATGCACGCGCTGAAAAGCCCGGACTCGGTCTAGGTGTCGGCAAACGTCGTATGCACTATTGGACGACGACACAAAGCACTCACAAAGAGGAAATGCGGGAAATGACAGTTGTCGCGCTGGTGGACGGTATCAAGTATACGGATAAGAGCCCGGGCGGCATTGGTGCAGATCGTCAGAGAGGGGAGGTTCGAGGTCTTTCCGGGCTGCGGGATGAAGGGCCGGTGGACTATTATCTGAAGACGGTAGTAGGCACAGTAGAGATAAGCGGACTGGAGGAAAAAGAGGCAGTCTTCGCGATGTGGGTCCCAGTGTACTGTAAACGGGTGAGAGACAAAGTAAACCAATCAGCGCGGCACGTACGATGGCTTGGCAAGCTGTCTCTCCATTCGTTCAGAGCGGAATCTAGCTGCGCGACAATGCGTTTCTCCCATTCATCTCCCACGAATCCCATCATCAATTTCGACTTATGGATGGAGTACTATCAGAATATCAGAATTTGCAACTGCGCAACATCGTAATGTCTGACATACTATCGTTTGGTGAGCAAATGCCAGAATCCGGTCCAGTTTGATTGACCAGATGAAATATGCGAGCTTGGATGGTCTGTCCTCCGGTTGCTTCATGACGGGATTCGAATTGGAGTCAAGCCAGTACTCATCATCGCATTCAATGGGCATATCAAGGTCGAAGCTAGGATTTGATTTATGTTACCGCGTGAGTAGCCTTGAGCCCAATAGATACTCACGCTTCTTCATTAATAGCAAAGGATCGACCAAGAGTGGCGCTGTAGTAGCGATCGAAAGATACGAGCGTCCTGTATACCTAAGTGAGGAGGGCGCGTCGCAGTTATGCATACGGACGCACCAGAAAGCGCGTCTCCATTGCTCATCCTCGACCAACAGCGCCGGCGACCTACAGCCTCGAAGGCGATGCACTCCAATGTCCTGTGCTGCTCGGATACCCACCCCAATTACCAGCCAGCCGGATTCCGGTACAGACGAGGAGCTCAAGAAAACGGTCACGAGCTGAAAGAACACGATGAGCGTCTGAACTGTGGAATCGGAGGAGGGGCATATACAGTATGAGACTGCAGCTCATATAAGCACGGAGGTGCGAACAGCGACCTGCACGCTACCCGAGGCCGTAGTTGATTGAAGTATCTCCACCCCGCGGAATGCCAACCGTCATATCCGTCGATGAGGACTCGTTTGTCGTCCGACCACCTTGACCCACATGCACAAACCAGCAGCAACAGGCACGCGAATGCGTCCTCGCGAATATGAGTATCTCCTGCTACCTTCTTCTTGAACGATGGCTCGTGAAGCAACGGCACAAAGTCATTTATGTAGCGGAAGTAAAGGTTTATAAGCGATTCCATGAGGTCTGCGGGGGGAAACTCGAAAGCCTGGCTAGACGGACAGGGACCCGCCTTATTGTGCTCTTCCCACTGCAAATACCGGATGATTAGCTATTAGTCTCTAAGATACATTCATCATAGAAAACCCACGGGGCACGCTGACCAAAATTCAGTACGCATACGGCCCCAAGGTCTCAGGGCCGGGTTCTTTGCAATGGCATGCCCAAATTTCAGGCCCAAGGTACTGTTGAGCAACCTGAATCCGCTAGACTCGCCGATATACCGAGGGACGACAGGTTGCAGGGAAAGGGACTTCATGTGGGCCGTGAGACCGTTTACAAAATAATCCCCAGAGCACATGTCGGACATGTCTGGATCAAGAAAGCAACCCTCCCCAATTGGCGGTGGTCCACAGCAGGGTTCGACAAGGGTACCGTCCAATGGGCTCTCATGGTCCAGGGATTCTCGTGGGCGAGAGGTTGTGGCTACCGAGACGTTACCGCTGGACGTCTCGTCTTCGGAAGTGTCACCAGCAGCCATCTGTGGTCGTGATGTTTACATACAGAGGAATCAATAACCGTTCACGCACCTTGTTGAGAAGTTGCTCCATTCTGTTCAGACGACTGTCGAGGCTCTCTGCAACCCTACGATAGTCGAGTGTGCGGTTCGGTCAGTTGAGAACATCTACCATATATATTACGGCGGTACCTCTTTGAAGGACCTCGTTTCTATCGTAACATTAATTTAATGCATGCTCGGCCGAGTGCTGCGATCATACCTTGGTAGCATCCTCGTACGTACATTCGACGTGAGATATTGAGCAATTCGAGCACTTCTGATCTGTACGCTCTATGCCATCGCCTTAGAGGCCGTCACTTTGCGTACCAAGGAAGGATGATATATCGCCTTTACTTACACCGAACTATCAGAGTGTATTAGTAAGTACTGCATCTCTGAGTGATGATACATCCTCACTTTTCTTCCGCCTGCATGAATCGCAGGCTCGTTGAACTCGCCGTTTCTTAGCAGTACTGAATCCACCTTGGCCGTCTTTCAGGTCTTCCGCAGAGGCCATGGCGGCCATAACTATCCCGTCCGAAGCTGTTTTCTATGTAGGTGCGGCTCGGATGAACACCTACGAACACGTCCGACCCTCTGCGGACAAGCCGAAAAGACGCGGGTGGCGGCTGTGCCACCTGCGTGCCGTCGGAACGTTCCGAGAAGACCCGAATTTCGATACTTAGCCGAACTCTCCCGTCAGTGTCACAAGAGATTACAAGCCTGTGCCGCCGACAATGTCTTTAGTGAACGCAGCGGATAGCTCAGACGTGGCTTTTCTCCACATACCAATAATGTTGGTACCAGTACCTGTGTAATCATAATAATGCAGCGTCTAATGCAGCAGACATTGCCATTCCACTGGCAGCGACCTGCAGCACATCTCCACCAGAGACCCAAGCAAGAGAGGCCAACTAGTAGACCAGATAAGGCATGCTTGCATCAACGTCGGGTTCTTCTATGGCGAGTAATCTCCAAGAGTGTTCCGACGGATGAAGGTTCTCATCAATATTACTTTCAGTGAAGAATCACGGTATACCGGAAGAGACAATCCAAGAGGCTCTTTCGGCGACGAAACGCTTCTTTTCCTTACCTCTCGAGACAAAGATGAAGGTCTGAACCCCCGGCATGCATAGCAACGTGTTGAGATACTTAGACTGCTAATGATGTGACACAGGTAGACATGCGTGCGACGCCCAATTTCAAGGGATACAATCCTCTCTTTTCTAGCAACAATGACCCGAATGGTGCGAAGGACATGCACGAAGGATTTGAGTTCGGTTGGGAAGAGCTGAACCCGAAGGAGCTTGACGAGAAACGCGCCAACGACGGCGTTATGGCCGGAAATAACGTCTGGCCGCGAAAAGACGATGCCCCGCACTTCAGAGAAGCCGTCTTAACGTACTAGTAAGTCAGCCAGTATGCAGAGTCGGTGCAGACTAGACGCGCTCAATGGATTCTCGTAATCCCTATGTGTAGCCACGAGGCTGTGAAATTAGGGAAGTCGCTCTTCCCGCTGTTTGCACAAGCACTCAATTTACCGGAGAATTTCTTCGACGACAAGGTGCGCTTTCTAGCTCTAGCCTCATGCCCCCATCTCGTTTTTGTGGATCTCTTGGGGAAGCATCATGATCGTCGACTAACCCTAACATCATTCCAGACCAAGAATTCGGCGGCGCTCATGCGGGTGCTGCATTATCCCCCGCAGACTCCAAACATTGACGATAAAGTGCTGGGGATTGGTGCCCATACCGAGTAACTAACCTGTTTCCGTTTGCACGCAGCTGATTGACTGGCGTGCCGCTAGCTGGGAGGTCAGCTTTCCTCGTGCAGCAATGGTCGCGACAGTACTCATGGTGGATGATCTCCAGTGCTTCACACTCCTCTACCAACAGACAGATCCGCCTATTCAATCCTTGCAGGTTCTCAACGCATCCAAGCAATGGATTGATGCTCCTCCTATTCCGGGGACACTCGTGGTAAAGTGTGTTCCTCATTACCTTTCGCGGTCCTGTAAGTTTAGCTCACCTAGTGTATAATAAGCTTGGGAGATCAATTTGCACGGTGGACGAGTCAGTCTTTCGTTTATTAGTGTTTCCGTTGATACCGACCGTTTACGCTTGGCAAGACGATATCTTCAAGTCGACCGTCCACAGGGCGGCAAATAGATCGGGGGCCGAAAGGTATTCTATCCCTTTATTCTTCGGGACAGACTATGACGTACGCCTGGAGGTGAGTGTGCATGTCTTACGCGTAGCTGGCTATTGTTATTGACACAAATGCCGAAGCCGATCCCAAGCTGTGTTTCTCCCGACAGACCGCCAAAGTACGAGGTCATGACGGCTGGGGAGTATGTTAAAGAAAGACTGAAAGCAACTTACGGTCATTGAACGAATGAGGAGCTAAGCGTCTGGCGTAGGTCGATATCACAGGGGGCTAGGCTGCGCGACAAGGTATAACATCTTGTGTGCGTTCCGGGTAGGCAACGAAACTGCTCTTCTGATGGCATGACAAACCCGTCCGGCGCCATCGCACCGAGCCCTACGCTGCTCAAAAAGAACGCGGCAATGAAGAACTATGTTTTGGAATAGGTTGAGATAAATGCTCCTCCAGTCTGGTGGAAAACATATAGTCGCAACATACTTGCTGTATATAGGTTAGCGTTTTTGAATGCCGCGGAGGAGCGCGGACTGATCGGTCATAGTACCAGTGGCAGTGCTACCGGCAATCACGGCAACGCCCGGGAATGAGTTCGCACGGGTGATTATTGCAACTTTTCGAGCAAATTCCATTTCGGCAAACTCTGTCCCTTACCACAATGAGCGTTCACTTGCCCCCCTCCGCTCTGGAGAATCTGCCCAACAACGAGGACAGAGAGTCCGCAAGCAGCGGCTCTGAAGTCGAGGATGAAGAGGACAACAATTTCGACGACTGGGTTTCGGAATCTGTAGAAGAGCAACCCTGCGTCTCACTATTCGACGAGAAGACCTTATCATCGGTCAGTGAGGCATTGAAGTACGACAAGGAAGTTCATGGGTTCGACCTGGATTTAGTGTGCTCGAATCTCTGTATGTATCCAGGTTTACCTAGCACATTCTGTTGCTAATTCTCTCTAGCCCTGGATTTCCATCAGCGAATCCGATTGATCAATTACATCCGAAAGCAGGTAAGTCGTAGAGTCGCATATCGATCTATCAACTTCAATGAATCAAAGCCAAGAAACCCTCAGCCGCCGAGGTGTCCAATTTGAAAGGCGATGAGGCATTCTTTGCATCCGATGAATATCTCTTACCGGCGTTAGAAGACGATCCGCTGTTGCGTAAGTCCTATTCCTCAATCGCAGGGCTCTGTCCTACTGGGTAGCTGTTCTGCGGAAGCTCTTTGAAGCTCGTAGGAAGCTGCTAGCTATGGTCGAGTTCGCCCAGTCCTCCGGAATCAGTTGCTAACGAAAGCAGAGGTTCAAAATGATGATTGGTCTGACGAAGAAGGTCCGAGTGTCGCTCAGCCTGAAGATCTCAAAACGGCTATTCGGAGAATCAAGGCCCTGGAAAATGAATTGTCTCGAGCTAAGCAAGACTTATCCGACTACAGAGCGCTTGTCAGTCGCCAGGTGGACCTTGCGAGGCTTGTGGATGAGCTGGGAGATGCTGCGGGACCAAGTTCGCAACCGGTTCCCCGAGATGATGACTCGCACTACTTCGAGAGCTATGGCGAAAATGGTCGGTCTACTTCACTCGGCGAATTTGACGAAAGACTGATGGATAGTGCAGATATCCATGCCGTCATGATTCAAGACAAAGTGCGCACTGCAACATACGCTTCTTTCATCATGGGCAGCCCAGCGCTCTTCAAGGATGCCGTTGTACTTGATGTCGGCTGTGGCACAGGTATACTCTCTCTATTTGCTGCGCGTGCGGGTGCAAAGCGGGTCTTTGCCGTTGACGCCAGTAAAATTGCAAACAAAGCAAGACAGATCGTCAAGGATAACGGGTATGAGGACGTGATCACGTACGTAGTATTTTGGGTATTACAGTGACATCCACTGACGGCGGTCTTTGCACAGCGTTATCCAGGGCAAGATAGAAGATATCTCCCTACCGGAGGGGATTGAGAAAGTAGACGTGATCGTCTCGGAATGGATGGGATACGCTCTGCTGTACGAGTCGATGTTGGACTCTGTATTAACTGCGCGTGACCGATTCCTTCGGCCTGAGGGAGTCCTGGCGCCTAGCCAGTGCCAGATGATGTTGTCCCTCTGCGATGCCAAGGAAATTTACAAAGAGAGGATCAAGTTCTGGAGTGATGTTTATGGTATGCAGCTCGTCGACGTACCTCGCGCAGTTTGTTGACCTGTATTCCAGGATTTGACCTGTCAGCAATGTCAGAAGATGTCTACCACGATGCCGTTATGGATGTAGTTGGGCCTGAAACTCTTGTTAGCGAACCCTATTTAATAAAAGTATGTCGTGTCTGTCGATTCGCCGCTTACTTGGTCTGACTCTCATATTGCCGTAGGATCTTCACCTAGGGAGCGTATCACCACGCCAACTTTCGTTTACCTCCTCATTCACGCTGGTCTCTACGTCGGACCGACGCACAAAAGTGCACGCATTCATCCTGTACTTCGATACTTTCTTCACCTTGACTGGGCAGCCTATCCCGGAGGGTACTGAAGTACATATCGTAAACCAGGGCGATGCTATTCTAGCTGAGGTGTGGCCAGTAGGAGCGCTCCCTGGCAGGGCACCCAAGCCAGTACGGAGGGAGAGTCAGGGTGAGGGCCTAAAGAAGGAGAAAATCACTAGCTTCAGCACTGGGCCCAGGAGCGAACCGACGCACTGGAAGCAGACGCTGTTCTTCTTGAGGGAGCCTATAGTCGTAGAAGAGGGTAGGCACCAAATTTTAACTCGGGCGACCTAGGCGCTGATCATATTGTCTAGGGACTGTTGTCTCCGGTACTTTCCATTGTCGCAAGAGCGAAGGAAATTCAAGAGAACTGGACGTTGAGATTCATTACACCGTGAAGAATGAAGGGGACAAAGAACCGGGGGATGTAGTGGTGCAGATGTTCAAAGTGCGGTGAAAAGAAGGCCATGCGTGAAGTCCGTTAATGTATTACTGCTATCCTTTAGAAGATGATAATATTCGTCCAACATAGATTGATCAGACTTGGCTTGAAATGTGTAAGTCCGACAACGATCGGGCGTGACTGGTTTTCGGAAAGTCGCGGTAGGATCATCAAGTCAAGTACAGAGAAGCGTGTCTGCAGCGCATGTTGAGACGACCTTCAGAGTCGTTCCTCCATCGTCAATCGGACGGAGGCTGACCGTGGCTGACTTGGCTGGCCGGTGAGGCTCACTGACGACGGGAGTCTGCCGCCCGTCAACCGCCTCCCTCGCCAGCCGCCGTCAACCGGGCCAGATCAACATAAATACGGCAGCACCATGTCATTGTAACTTCACCTCCTGCCCTCACCTCCCTCACGCGTGTTCCCTAGTTGCTAGAGACACTACCTCCACCCTCACCTTGATCATGCCTTCGACAGCGCGCTTTGTATCCCTCCTGGGATTCGTCTCTCTAGTCATGGCTGCTCCAAGTGCTAACGGTAGTGGAACATCCAATCAGGCCGGATACGTCCCTCGCGTTGGTCCTCCGAACGCGAACTGCACACGTCAGACATACCAGCTGGATATCACTAGTAGCAACGCAGGCTCCTAAAACCATCCGTCTCCGCGTCCTCGATCCTCTCTGCTGAGGCGTATGTGAAGATGTTATGTAATAGGGCTTATATAATGCAACTTATTTATAGATGTATTTCCTAATTAAGACGACTAGTGAGGATGAGGACGCTCTGAGACGGCTGGCCCAACTCGTCGTCCGAGGTTTTACCGGAATTATGTAAGGCAGCTAAGCGACTAACGACGCGTCGGTTTACTGCCGGTTTGTCGACTGCCCAATTCGGATTTTCGAAGTGGCTTTCTCGTCGCACCTCAGCTGCCTTTGTCCTCTGCTCGCACGCGTGTCGATGGCGGAGCATATGAATTCAGCATTTAATAGAAAGACACTGTCTGGTGTAGTAATAATACATAAGGAGTCTAAGGGTCTTTTGCTTTGTATTCTCGATGGATAGATTATTTTGAATACATTGGTAAAGGGCAAGCACCAGGCTCTTCAATGAAAAGTAGCCTGACACCTTATGACATGAGATATTATGTTTAATCTCATTTGATTTCGCTAAAGAGATGGAGACAGTAGTTTCTTGAATCTTGTAGTAAATAATTGTTCACTATTTTCTTTATTGATATGGGGGAGACTCGGTGGAAGTGCATGCAATCCACAACGCAGATGTAATACATTATTTTGTTATTAACAGCTTTATTGCCGTCCACGCGCGTGCGAGCAGAGGACAAAGGCAGCTGAGGTGCGACGAGAAAGCCACTTCGAAAATCCGAATTGGGCAGTCGACGAACGTCGATAAACCGGCAGTAAACCGACGCGTCGTTAGTCGCTTAGCTGCCTTACATAATTCCGGTAAAACCTCGGACGACGAGTTGGGCCAGCCGTCTCAGAGCGTCCGGATCCTCATCCTCACTAGTCGTCTTAATTAGGAAATACATCTATAAATAAGTTGCATTATATAAGCCCTATTACATAACATCTTCACATACGCCTCAGCAGAGAGGATCGAGGACGCGGAGACGGATGGTTCTAGGAGCCTGGTAGCAACGTCGTATTTCAGAATGTGGACAGTAATGCCAACGAGGTACGTCTATATGGTATAGCCAGCTACACCATACTGACATGCGTGTTCAGACATATTTTACGAAGTTACTCCAAGTCTTCTCACCTTTGCCCGTGAACTTCAGTCGGGAGTATGAGCATGCCGACAAGCAGCAGCTCTCACGGTCCTACTCCATCTCTGGCACG